CTACCTTTATTTTAGCCACCAGAAATACCCTGAATTCTGGTTAATACTTTTGCAATAGCTGCCTGACCTAGTTCTTCAGAACAAAAGCTGGAATCTCTATTCCTCTTGTGTCAGCCAGGGATTTCAATCTGCATTTCTATAGCATCTTTAAGGATTGCAGCATGCCTGAAAAACCAACAGATTAAGCCGCCTCTGTTCTGTGGGAGTTCAGTGTTGTCACAGTCATTTTGCCAGTGTGCAGAATGCCTTTCCCAAGGTGACCTGGCTACTGGAAAAGGTAGGATACGCTGAATTCCTGCTCTCACGCTGCCATGGATGGTCTGATAGTCCTGACTTTATGGGAAGCAGCACATACACCTCTTATGGAGGGTGGCACAGACTTGGCTGATGGAGCATGACGTTACCTCTATTATAACCTAATATGTCTGTGAATTTTTGCAAGTAAAAGATCTGGAAGGAGCAGGAGGTGGCTGGGAGCCAAGCTCTATTGATATTATCTGCAGGGAATGTCTCCCAAGCCACAGGAATTCAACCAGTAGCAAAAGAGCGTGTGCTGTGTGCAGGTCATCCTCTCCAGCATTAATTCCAACTCCTCATCACAGTGGGAGTGAAGGTTTTCAGAGGCTGCTGTTTTCTTGCTCTCTTTAAGCTTAATCTGCTTTCTTGCCTGTGTTCTCCATGCTCTGCTCCAGCCCAGAGGCCTCAGCCTGGCACAGTGCAGGTCCCAGTGCTGGCTCTCCTTTGCTCCACCATTGGAGTTGCCTGGTCCAGCAGAGCCTGGCTGTGGTTCTAGGAGCCTGAAGCAGCACAAACTTGCTTCTCTCATGTGACCCAGTGTAGGCTGCACTGGGTGATGTGCATAGGGTGAAAAGGGACTCTGAGCACTCCCTGCTCTGCCAGGTTGGAGTATGGGAACGTGCCCTCATCTAGAGCAGCCTGCAGTGCCCTGGCAGAGGGGATGGGCTTGCTAAAGCAATGTCCAGGGCTTCACGCTTGGTGCATTCGTTTCTTGTTTTGAATTGGGCCAGAAAAAATGGGAGCTGGATGAGACTGTAAAACCTTGGAGCCACTTCCCAGCACTGTGAAGGAGCTGCTGCAGTGGGAGTGCAGATGCAGCTGCCACAAAATCACAGAACCCCAGCCTGGTTTGGGTGGAAGGGACCTGAAAGCTCCTCCAGCTCCAGCCCCAACCCCTTCCACTGGAGCAGCTTGCTCCAAGCCCCTGTGTCCAACCTGGCCTTGAGCACTGCCAGGGATGGGGCAGCCACAGCTTCTCTGGGCACCCTGTGCCAGCGCCTCAGCACCCTCACAGGGAAGAGCTTCTGCCTAAGAGCTCAGCTCAGTCTCCCCTCGGGCAGGTTCAAGCCATTCCCCTTGGCCTGTCCCTACAGGCCCTTGTCCCAAGCCCCTCTCCAGGTTTCCTGCAGCCCCTTTAGGCACCGGAGCTGCTCTCAGGTCCCCCCTTCATGCAGCAGAAGGGGCGAATCCCCTCTCTGACCTCACGCTCTGGGGGTGCAGCCCTGCAGACAGGGGGGTTCAGGGCTCTGCTGGCTCATGGTGAGCTCCCCATCACCAGGACCCAGTGGATCCTAGTGGGATCTCCAGGACACTGCCTCTGTATTGTCAGCAATGCACAGTAAGCAGGAGGATACCCTGAACATGACAGCTAGCAATTCAAATAGTACTCTCAAAATGCTCTGCCCACCTCTGGATGCAGTAGCCTTGGGGAAGGTAGCTGAGCTGAAAGCACTTATTTAAAGCGAAACTGCCTCTGGATTGCTCCCTCCTTATCTCCAGTCCTGGCTCATGTCATGCATTGATGAGGAGACTTGCAGACTTGATTCCTATCTTGTGCTTCTTCCCACCAGTTGATGCTGATGCTTAGTGAATTTGCAACGCAGCCTTCCTCCTCACAGCCCCTTGGTCCCAGCTCTTGGTCTATGTTTTCCCTTCCCTGGCCAGCTTGCTCTGGACTTCAAGAGTTCTGAAAGAGAAGAGAAGAGGGACCACAGTTCTTTGATGGAAGTGCATTTGTGCTTCCTAGCAAATCCCAGCGCTCAGATGAGCACGGCTAGAAGGTCTGGCTCTGAACTCTGGCCTATCTCATGGATGAAATTGCCTTAGATCTTACTGGGACTTCCTGAGTGCCTCAGATTTGCTGTGCTTTGGTATTAGGCTTCTCTGGAAGCTTTGTTGAAGCAGGATACCTTTTCCCTAACGCTTTGCCCAGGTCCCACAAGCTCCAAAAGGTGCTCAAGTACGTTTCTCCTGACTAAGGTAGGACAAAGGCCATTTGTACATGGTAGAATTGGCCATCTGAAGACTGGAAGTGGCTGTTGGCACATTAAAATCTGAAAGGGGTTTTCTTTTCTCTCACAAAATTGTGTTCCAATAGAGAAGAAATGGGTTTAAATGGAATCAATCACAGCCACAGCACAGGACATGAGGTCCTGGTGCCCTCCTGGTGCAGTGACATGAATGGGCAGGGTGAGGAAAGAGGTGAGGTTTGCAGTTCTGAGTTTGCTCTGCTTTGTGTCTGGGGAGGGGACGTGGAGCATGGAATGGCCTTTGCTGTGCATGTAGATAAATCAGGCAGTCTGCAGTGCAAGCACTTAGTCAATGCACCCTGCAGCACTTCTTGCTTGCCAGTTCTGGCTGCCACAGCCAAGGCAGACAGGACCTGAATGAGCAGCATGGAGTAGAGCAGCCGTGGGAGGAGCAGGCTGTGCATGTGTGTGCTTATAGAGATGTGTGAGTAGCAGTACTTACATTACCTTGTGCGGCTCCCGAGGTAAGAAGGGCGCAGTGGGCAGGGGAAGGAGCAGAGAAATGTTTAATATTGGACAGTTGCTAAAGAGGAAAATTAGAAATGCATCACTTTTTGACTGGGAAATTTTTCTTCAAAGAGTGTAGGACTGCTGGGACCAAACTTGTGAATAAAACACCGGGAAGTGTCCTCGTTTTTCATGAAGCCTGTAGGCAGCAGAGGTTCACACCAACTCAAAGCTGCCTTGGTTTCCTCTAAACTTGGGTCTTGACAAGTAAAATCAGGCTCTTCCATTTATAAAGAACTCGTGTCTTGTTCTAGAAGGCTGCCTTAGCATGTAAGCCCATGAAATATAATCCTTATGCAAATCTGAAGCCAGTTCCAAGCCTGGGTGACTCCCTGGAGAATATAAATGACATTTCTTTGTGATGCTCCCAAAGCTATGGTGCTGTAGACATCTCCTCGCTGACTGGCACATCGGCAAAGCAGAGATGCAACAGATGACAGCGACTTTGCCCTTTCCTCCACACCTAGCAGGATTATGCTGTTTCCTCATCTCTGATCCTCCACCAGGCTGCTTCTGCCTTGCCAGTTCCATTCTTCTAGAGAAAGAATGTGTCCCCCTCTCTTGATTGTAGTTTATGTACTACTATTAACATGGACTTCTGATTACATCTGTGTACAGGGCCTGCCCTGTGGGAGACAAGCTCATCCCCAGACAGAAAGGAACCTGGCTACCTCTATTTCCTATACCCTAGGGATGCTGCTGTGAGGTAACAGGCAGGAAACCTTGGTCTCTTTGGCAGGCTGTGGCAGGCAGGGACCTGCTGTGTAATGTAGTAGTGGTGACAGCACTTGGAGGAAGCAGCTTTCCACAGCTTGGCTAGCAGGTCTGGAGACGGGGATTAGAACCTCAGACCACCAGCTACAATGCCAGGGTACCCTTTGTGTTCTCTGTATGAACCCCAGTTCTGTTCCGTCCCCGTGATACTGCTAGACCTGCGTTCCCAGTCCGTAGACCTGCATTCCCAGTCCGTAGACCTGCGTTCCCAATAGATCCGTGGCTCTGGCTGCTGTACAAAGACACTGCAGCCTAGTTAGGAGGGATGAACAGGTAGGAAGGGAAATGGGAATGGGGAAACTGGCTGAAAGGCCACTGGGCTGGCCCACCGCTGATGGACAAACCTCTCCCAGCACAAGTGGTGACAGCCTAATGGTTATCTGTAGCATGTCCTTTATTTATTTTAAGGGTGGTTCAGCAAAGGTGGCTTTTTAGGGCTTTTATCTCTGCTCTTTGGACCTAAAAGTATCCCAGGGTTAAGCCAGCATTGTCAGTTGTTTGCAGAGGCCAAGAATCCTCTCTATTTGCAGTGGAGCAGTGATGGGTTTGCTGACACGCACTCTGACCTCTCCCGGGTTGTAATCCCCAAAGCGTCCCCTAACGATGCCCCTTTCCACCCCTGCCCATCCCTCAGCGCTGCTGGTGGAGCTGCTGTCCCACTGAACGCGAGCTGCTGGTGGAACTGGCTGTTTCCAGGAGCCGGTGAGCCCCGAGGCACAGGGTGATAGCAGACATCAGCCCTCACAGCACTGACTCACGCCAAGCAGCGACAGGGGGGAAGTAAGAAGCACCAGGTCATGTGCTGCTCATCCGCAATGCAAACACATGGGTGAATTCTCCCATAGCCCGGCCATAGAGCAAGAAATCCAAGCCTCCCTGCCGGGAATGACACGGGGAGCGGGGCAGGTCCTCAAGTCTGCAGCCAGGCAACACTGGCGGAGATGCCGGATTCCTTAGAAGCTGCAGCAGCTCCAGGCCCTGGGGCTGTGGAGCAGAGAGAGAAGAGCTGACGAGCTCAGTAAGTCAGCAGGGAAGTGGGGGTGTACGAAGAGGATGGAGGGGAGCAGGAGGTGATCTCCGCAAGGCTCCGGCAAGACCTCAGTGCCCAGGTGTGACTCGGAGCTCTCTCTCATCCCTTCTAGGGACCAAAGAAGGAGAAGACGATGAGAAGGAGGCAAGGCGGTCCCAAGAGGCTCCGCTGTCGTTCGCCTTGGAAGAGGAGCCCGAGGTTTCCGTGCGCTGAGAGCCGTGTCCCGTGTGTTACCACGCCCTGAACTCCAGCTCGGCAGCTGAGGTGAAGCAGGCACTGCACGAACATGTCAGGCTTGCCTCCACCCCGTCTCCTCCTCCCGCTTGCTCCCGCCGGCTTTCCCCATCAAGTTTAGCGGCGGACCGGGGGCAGCGCGCTCGCACCTCACCTCTGCTTGCGGAGCAATGAGGAGCCGGGGGTAAGCTCCCTCCTGCAGCCCTGGGGCTCGACGTGGGCTCGCTCGCTTTAAAGCAGTAACGACCGTGCCCTAATGGCTGCTGTTCCCCTGTTTACAGGGGACTCGGGTTGTCGGTTTGAACTAACGTCTTCGCTCCCCGGTGGCTGTGCTGCTACGGCTTAACCCCTTCCCTCCGGAGCCAAGCCCGTGTTGGCAGTGCCAGCCTAGGGCAGAGCGAGAGGGGACGGGTTTCAGGGGGTCATAAACGTTTCTTCTCTCAAGGGATGGTCCTGGAAGGGAAGGAAAACCGGGAGCTGGATTCCTTTGGGAAGGACTTCACTTCATCTTTACTCCTATAGCCCAGCAACACCGTCCTCCAATCGGCTTTGCTGCATGACAGTGGGAGAGTTCCCCTCCAGACCCTTCTTTCTCCTCTCACTTGGAACTGGCCTCTACGGGCATTGTTGCAGCAGGACTGCCAGTAAGATCTTGTGGTTTTTACTTCCCAGTGTCTTTTAGGTGGACCAGCCTTTGTGTCTGGGGTGCCTGGGGTTTAGAGCCTATTGACCCTCAAGACTATGGGGAATATAGAAAGGAACATGCGTTGTTGAATCCTGCAGGGTGATGCTCTTAAAACGCCTCGATGAAGAAGGGGTTAAAAATTACCCTGGATGATGGTTGGGAAAGCAGACAGCATGTCAGGAGCATGAATGCTCATTGCCTTTATGGGAGACATAGCAGCATCTCCTCTGAGATCTCTTGTATCTGAAGGACCCTCATCATATCTTGTGAGGCCTTACTGGCTCCCTGGTTAAATCCTGCATGTGTGTACTCCTGACCTCTGGCTGCTGCACCCACCAGGAGCCTTCCAGCACGCCCACTAAAACTCACCCGCAGTACTCATGTGGGTATGGGTGCGTGAGTGGATTTTGGCTCCCTGAAAGCTGGCTCCCCTCCTCCTGGTTAAGCTACCCTGGGCATTTGTGCTGAATTATTTGTGCCAGGTAGTAACCAACATAAAGAGCAAGGTATTTACAGCTGCAGAAAGGAGCTTTGCTGATGCTTTTGCTTTTCTCTTTGCCAGGACACTAATGCTTTAATGTATTTGGGGACAGAGTACTGACAAACCAGAAGAGAAGTTTGTGGCTGGTAAGTGTGAGCTCTTGGGTGAGCTGGAGGGGGGATGTACATAGAGAAAAGGGTATTTGCTGAGTTTTCCTCTGCTTTTATGAGTTCTGTGCTTGGGTAAAACCTGAGTCAGCCCCTCCATTGGGGGAAGGATCCCTGCTGCATGACTCTCTCTGAACCCCTGTCCCACTGAAAAGTCTCATTCTCGACAGTGTGATGAAGCTGGGTATTGATTTGAATCCTCTACACTGCCTTGGTGTGTACATCCTCTGTGCTAAGTGTGAGCAATGGTTTATGTATCTAGTAGCAAAGCTGATCCAATAGGGGAAAGAGCTATTAGTAACTGGATTGGTAACCCTGCTTCCAGTCTGCTCCTTGTACAGGGGTATGCGTGTATCCGGGTCCTGCTGCCTAGGCTTGCAGAAGTGAGAAACATAACTCTTGCTTGGTCACAAAATGGTTTTGGTTGCCAGGGAGAAGCAACTATAAGAGTTTGCTGTCCTGCCTCCAATCAGAAGGAGAGCACTTCCTAACCTACTTCTCTCATGTGCTTAGGGAAATTCACGAGCAGAGGAAGGAGCGAAATATTTAGTGCAAATGGCTTAGAGCAGCTTGGACTTACCTACACCAACTGCAAGTAAAAACCCAGGCAGGTTCTGAGATCTGCAGCGCACGGCCTTTCTTGAGGGTGCTAATAGAGATGCTGGAGAAGAGAAGGCTGCGTGGAGACCTCAGAGCAGCCTTCCAGTGTCTGAAGGGGGCCTATAGGGATGCTGGGGATGGACTCTTCATTAGGGACTGTAGTGACAGGACAAGGGGTAATGGGTTAAAAGTGAAACAGGGGGAGTTTAGATTGGATCTAAGGAAGAAGTTCTTTCCTGTGAGGGTGGTGAGGCACTGGAATGGGTTGCCCAGGGAGGTTGTGAATGCTCCATCCCTGGCAGTGTTCAAGGCCAGGTTGGACAGAGCCTTGGGTAATATGGTTTAGAGCGAGGTGTCCCTGCCCATGGCAGGGGGTTGGAACTGGATGATCTTAAGGTCCTTTCCAACCCGAACTGTTCTATGGTTCTATGATTCTAAGTCTGATCACATCCAGAGCTGTGCATCAGTACATGGACAGGACCAGCAGCTCTGAAGTCACCAAGGGCAGCTGAAGCCTGACTAGCTGGTTGTGCTGCACAGCACTGATAGCTTGAGAGAGGACAGCAAGCTTCCAGGGAGGTTCTGGGTAGGAGACCTGCTTTCTTGTCTGTTGTACTAACCCTGCTCCTGCACCAGTATCGCTGGCTTTGAAGTTATAATGGACACAGCACAGTGGTGTCCAGAATTGGGACTTGGCTGATTTAAAGGATTAAAGCTCTGGTTTAAAGTATTTTCTCTGTCTGGTTTGAGAACTAACGCACTGGCATTTGGTCGTTAGTGATGATGATGTTTTGAGACCCACCTTCCATTTGTCTGGTGTAAGAGAGCAATGTGAATGTAGGGTGCTGAAAGAGATTTGAGCTTCGAGTTCAGAAAGCCCCTCAAAAATCTCAGGGAATTCCATTGCCCCTCAGGCTGAGCCATTTTAACTTAGTGTTAGTAATGAGATTCCTTTGGAATTAACTGATGAACAGCGTCACTGCAGACTACATTTATCTTTACTTGTGTTCTAAGTGCACCTCAGCTTTTAACATATGAAATGCTGTGTGAACGTTCATACTGATGGCAATGTTCTTCCTTTCCAAGCAGAACAGAGTAACTGATACTCCCAAGGAGAAGACTTGGCTGTTCTGATTTGGGTTTCCCTCTCGGGGTTGACAGCAGTGAGTAGGAAGGCACTGAGAGTCAGGCAGGTTGTGGGGTCTGAGCTCGTCTGTCTCCTCCGTGTTTGGGGCACACTGCCTGGGCTGCCGTTTTCCCATCAGTTATCCTGTGGGAATAACACGAGTAAACTGCCTCGCAGGCTGTTGACAGCAATTAAATATATCTGTGTCTCGCTTTGAGAGAACACGATGATCATAAATAAGGACGCAGATTGCTTCGTGTTGTTTGGAAGGAAGTTTAACTCTTGCATCTCTGTACTCGGGTGCTCCAGGGGATCACTGAGCTGTCTCTCCCAGCCCTTTGCTGTGCTGCTGCAGTGAGGACTGTGCGTGGCCACCGGTGCCTGTGCTGGGACAGGGCTGGGTGCAAGCCATCGGTGATGCTTGATGAGTGTGTGTGGCCACCGGTGCCTGTGCTGGGACAGGGCTGGGTGCAAGCCATCGGTGATGCTTGCTGAGTGCTTCCCTGCTGTAAGGTCTGTGCCGTGTACCCGTGCAGCTTCCCCCCATAACCAGCGTTCCAGAGGCAGCCAGGGCTGTGGTCCATGGTGTGGGAGGGAGCTCACAGAGAACTGCAGAGCGGGGCACCCCGCGTTTCAAAGTGCTTTGCTGGAAGGAGCGTGTCCACCAGATGCAGCCCAGTGCCTTGGCTCCTCCATGTGTCATATGACCCAGTATGCCAGATGTGGCCCCTTGCACTTGTCCCAACATAACCTCCTATCTGATATGTAAGATGCTGCTATTCACGTGGTTTTTCTTAGAGACAGAGCCTTAAATGTTCTTATTCTAATCTTGGTAGTATTTTGATGCTCATTTTGAATGGATCTGTCACACAAGACAGTGGAGTGAAGCCCCACAGCCTTTAATCCCTGTCTTGAAGCTTTTTGATATTCAGGATTAACAGCAAAATACAGCCACTTGTTTTTAACCCTAATGCATCCTTCATGGCAAAATGATGTCAGTAAGCCCATTGGAAATAATGTCAGTAAACCCATTGGAAACAATGGGCATGGAACAGTGAAGCGTGCATGGGTAAGGCACGTGTCAAAAGGTGCAGTGTTGCATGGTTTTTTCTCTCCAGAACAGGTCACAGCCACATTTAAAGGTATTTGAAAGGTGGGGGAAAAGGGTCACTGTTGTTTTAATGGCTGATGCCTCAGCTTTATGACTGCAGCACTCATCTTGCTGGCTGTGGGTGAGGAGGCTGTGATGAGCTGCAGCCCTCCCTGGGTGCTGCGGTGGTATTTGTTAGCTGTAACCCTCTAAAAACCCAAACCCAGATGGAAAAGGCTGATCTTATAATGAAGGAATTGGACTGCACTGGAGGTTTGGGAGTGATTTCTGGTTTCTGTCATGGTGTCAAGACCTGCGTGCTGGTGTCGAGATGAAACGTGTGGTCAGAGCACCTCTTGGCTCCCACCCATGCTATGCACCCACGTTTTCTCCCTGTGGAAGCCAGGGTGTGTTGGGCCTGGATCTGGCCTTGATATGGAGTTAAAAAGCAGCCAGGAGACATCCCTGGAAGCTGTTTTAGCTCTGCTAATCTAGATGTAGCTGGGAAGCAACTGAGCTACTCATTTCTGTCCTGTCTCGTCTGCAAATGAGCATAATAATAATTCCCTTTCCTTACCTTTAGTCTGGTCAGATGAAACCTGTGCAGGGTGGGGCCCAGCTTCAGAGACTGGCACCATGGGACAGTGACTTTGAGCTGGGATGGCGAAGGGACTGGAGAGAATGGAAAAACTAGGATTTGTCAAGGGAAAAAGCCCATTGGCATTCGGGACGCGCCTGTACTGGTTTGTGAAAGTTCAAGAGGTCTTTGCAAGTGCTGTTCTCTGTCCCGGAATGGATTTGGTCTAAAAACACACCTAAAAGTATGTCACTGAGCAGCGTCCAAAACAGGCTTTGCAAATAGGCGTTCACTGCGTTTCAGGCTTCGCTCCTAATTTATGAGCAAGGAAATGGAGCAGGAGGAAAAGAGGCAGCACCGTGGCCTTCAGACCCTGTTGAGAGCAAGCACAGCAGAAGCCATCCAGCAGCTGTGTTCTCGTGTGTCAAGCAGAAACCCACCAATATAACCAGTGTGTCTGCCCCTAAGCTCGTGTCTAATGTAATATTAATCTGTGCACTGGCATGTGTGTTTGGGCAGGATTTAGAGCATCCCATCAGTTTGCTGCGCTGCTGGTTTGCTCTAACACTGGTGGGGGCTGAGAGAGGAGGGAAAGGGAAGGACTCCACATTGGGGAAGTGACAGCACAGCAAGTGAATACCCACTCTTCCTTGAGCAGCAATGGAGGTTCCTAACCCAGGATTGCTAAGAGCAGAACTGCAGCCCGGTGTGGAAGGTGCCATGGTGCCAAGCACTCTGCTCTTAGATCCCATTTCAGATACCAGCTCATGCGCTTTCCCCCTTTTGCTCACCCTCTGTTCCCATTCCTCGCTGTGGGAAGTTGCATTGAGATCTGTGACTCCCCAGGGAATTAACCTGTCGTTTTCCTTGGTCTGCCCACTGCTCTGAACCTTTATGGCCTGTTAGAAACAGGAGTCATGTCAGAAACTTCAGGAGGGCAAGCATTAGGATTTGGGAGGTACCAAACACACTGAAGTACCCTGTGTGCATGTTCACACATACATAAGCGTGAGCACACGCATTGAGAGTGGCCTATTTAACTTGTGCTGCATTTGAAATGCATTATGTGACAGCGACCTGTGGCAGGGTATGGAAATGGTTTCCCGTTTAATTGGTGGCTTCTTTGGGATCTTCTTCATCTTCCTCCTCCAAACTCAACCTCCATAGCGCAGTCCCCCAGGTCCTGTCGGAAGGGTTGTCCTCCTCTCCCCATCCTCCTGTCGCTGTCCTGAGTGGTCTGACATATCAGCAATCAGGGGAATGGCTCCTCCAGCCCAGGGACCGACGTTATCTGCCGTGTGGGGAGGGAGGAATGCAGAGAGCAGCAGCATCGCGATCCGCGATAGCAGAGCCACAGGCACCGAGCAGCGCGGTGGGTTGCTGCAGCGAGCAGGGGGAGGGAAAGCTTATTTTTAACTGGGAACTACCCAACTGAGCTGGAGTAGCTCTGCTGCCTTGCTGTCAGCGAGGGGAGGTGTGGGGGAACACGGACAGGGATAAGTGCAGTGCATCTCTGCTAATGGTGTGTGTGACTGTATGGGGGGGTGGAGGCAGGTCGGGTGCGATGACAGTGCATGCTGCTTGCTGTGTGTGTTTGAACCCGCGTGTCTCAGCGAGCAATTCCTGCTAACGTTTATCTACTCCTGTTTTGCAGTGGGGTTGGCTCTTCCCTGTGCCCTGCTCCCCGGGTTGCCTGGCTCCCGGCCATTCCTCTTTCCCTTCCCAACTCTCAATCCCCTTTCCCTCTCCCATCCTCAATCTGCCCACCCCTTCCTCTCCTCCGAGCCTGACCCTTCTCTCTCCTTGCCCCTCCTTCCCAGCCGATCCCTCCCCTTGCTCTGGATCTGCTGGCTGGGGGATGTTTTCTCATGCTCCCTGGCAGATGTGACAGCTTTGGGAACTGTATCCTCTAGGAGCAGCTCTGTGTGGAGTTGAAAACCCAACGTGGTTTCCCAGGCAGCAGGAATGGATCGCTGAGAGAATCCCAATCTCCGACTGCTTTTGTCTTGTGGTAGTGACTTTTCTTATTTCTGTTTGTGCCATTTCGTACGGTGCAGTTGTCAGCAGTGAAGGAAAGACTAAAGTCTAGGAGAGGGTTATAAAATCAGTGTCACGGGATTTGTGCTGTTGTATTAAAGGGATGCTGTCTGCGTTTAAATACAGGTTTGGCTTGATTTACAAAACCTTCTCTGCATAAAATGTTGTTCTGCGTTTCTGACTGACTGAGAAAAGGCCTGATTTATGTATTGTATTGCAACATGCTTTAGCTGGCTATTGGAAATACAAGTAAACAGCTTGTGCATGAAAACCACAAGTGCAAGCAGACTGCTTAAATCCAGACCTTCTCAATGAAAGGCAAAACCTCCACCGATTATTGCAGTTCATTGGCTTTCAAGTAACTATTTTTAGTGTATTCCTTTCATTTGCTCTTAATGCAGTGGTACCTTTAAACCACCTGTCTGATACAGCAGCGTCTGTATAAGCAAAGATTGATGCTGACTCTATGGAACAAATGTCAGTGGATACCCTGGGGTGTGTTGGGTTTGGAGTTGATTACATTTTGCTGGTTTTAAGATGTCTGTTATAGGCAGAAGGTAGAGTCAGGCCATGTCAGCTCCTCACCCTCACACTGACCATGACATGAGTAGATGCTTCTGGCTGGGTTTAGGAAGCACGCTTTGTATAGAGGATCTAGGTGGAGTCCAGGTGTTGGCTGAATGTGAGTATACAAATGTAGTGTTTGTGCTTATGCAAACTGATGTGCTGGCACAGAGCCACTGCTCTCTTTGAGGCCAAAATATCACCTGGGCTTTCCAGATCTGCATCTTGAGTTAGTTGAGCCGGAATCGTTCTCCTTCAGGGGAAATGAGTGACATGGTCAGAGAACAGTTGATACTACAAGTGCTAATGGTTGTAACACCACATTTTACTGGCCACCTGAAGCAGATAAAGAGCAAACTTGGAAGGCACTGTGTGTTGTGCCCTGAATATCTTCTCTTTATGGAGATGAGGAATGAAGCTGTGAGACTTAGGAGCGAGAGAAGGGAGGGTACTGGTTGACATGGTACCATTTCTCTGTCTGGAAATACCCCTGTGCTGGTGGATCAAGTAGCTGTCAGGCCTGACATGTAGTCAATGATTCAGAACTGAAGCACTTGATGTAATACTACAGAGATATTTCCTGCTTTCCTTGGAGGCTGTGAAAGCTCCTCAGTAGCACCAGCTGTGGGTTTGAACAGTACTAACACCATGAGCTATTAGAATACCTTTCCTTTCCCGGGTTGTCTGTGCTTGGTTTTCCATACAGAATTGCCCTCTGTGTGTTCAAGGCCAGGTTGGATAGGGCTTGGAACAACCTGCTCTAGTGGAAGGTGTCCCTGCCCGTGGCAGGGGGTTGGAAGTGGGTGAGCTTTAAGTTCCCTTTCAACACAAACCACTCTGTGACTCTATGAATCACTGTGAGTAGCTGCAATCCAGACCTGGAGCACAGAGGCAGTTCCCATAATCTCTCCATTAAGATGTATTTGGGTTTTCATTGGAACATATTTTAAGCAAAGATTATCCTGGCTGTGAAACCTCTTCTGGGCAGAGCAGTTGCTTCCAGCATCTTCTGTAAGTGCTTTTTTACTTGCCTAACCTTTTGCTTTCCTTTTCAACTATAAGGTATCTTTAGTAGGCTTCTGCTTTAGTAGTGCAGTGGACATTGTCAGTGTGTGGTCTGTACTTTACCAAGTGGGTTTAGATGGTGTAAAGGTCCTTCTGCAACACACAAGCACTTCCCATCGCAGCCACTGCAGGCTCACGGTAACCAAACGTGAAGCCAGAGTGTCCGTGTTCTCAGGATCTCAGCCCAGCACTAGGAAGCAAGGTTGGCATTGACCTGGTGCCTGCACTTTGCTCCTTCAACAAGGTTCAAGTGGAGCAACCTGGACAGTCTTTGACATATTTCACTGTGGGGTAAAACCCTCGAGGTTTGCTGAGTTTTGAGACCAGTGTCCTCTAGAAGTGGGTCCGTGTGTCCACAATGCCTTATCTCTGTACATGTTCTGTGTCCCTGACCCCTGTGAGTATTTATTCAGCACAAACAGTGGGAAGCTGAGGTCCTGTACAGGGGAAGAGTGACCACTGCAGTGCTGAACATTACAGAGTTGAAGTGACAAAGCTTCTCTACCTGATGGCAAGCCAACATTCAGGACTTTAAGAGTATGAGTGAGAAGCAAGTGCTAAAATTAAAGCTGTCAGTGGAAAGGGAAGAGCACCTTACTGGTGGACATGATTTAAAGAAACCTGTCCAGGTTTTTCCCAAACTAGAGAGCTTTAGCACTGCACTACCTAAAAGTATTTTGGCACCGAGTCTGTTTTGTCCCATCTCTCTGATGGCTCCCATTGCCCAGTTCATCCTGTGCATTGGCAGCATCTTGAAGAGGAGATGAAGAGCTGGGGCCCATCACTTCCACTGCATCCATAGGACAGTAATACAGCAATCTGCCCATTAAATGTGTTTCTTCAACAGCAAATAGGAAAATGTAACTTGGAATACCTGTAACTTCAAAGCCATCAAACCAAGTGATAGAATAGAGAACAGCTCAGGGGAGAAGGGACCTCAAGAGACCTGGAGTCTGACCCAGTGCTCAAAGCAGGGTCTTCTTGGAGGGTCAGACCAGGTTGTTCAGGGCTTCGTCTGCAAGAGGAAACTTGCTCTTGAAAACCTCTGAGGATGGAGACTGCTCAATGCTGGACTGTCCTGTTCCTGGAACAAAGATGTTCTCCCTTCTATCCAGTTGGGACCTCTCTTGTTACGCCTCTCCTGTTGTCATCTCTGACTTCTACCACTCTCCCACTGAAAAGCCTGACTCTTCATAGGAAATCTCCCTACCTCTGAGCTGGGTCTTCATGGAAAGGGTAGCTTCCCCTCACCCCATCTTCCCTCTCTGTCTTTTATGAAGCCATTGTGCCTATCCATCGTAGCCCTCCAGTTACTCCAGCTTCCCCACCTCTGTGATTGCCTGCGGAGCTCTGGTTTTTCCTTTTCCTTTATATCTTCCCACTCTCAAAAAGCTCTAAACCTTTTGGATTTCTAGCCATCTACATCTCTTTTTTTTGGCTATAAAGTCTAGGTGCAGGTTTTTGTTGTCTCCTGTGTCAGGGTATATTTAAGTGTAGCTGCTTTTGGCTTGTTGCAGTTGTAATGGCTCTTCACACAAACTGTCTCTCTCAGCCCCCAAGGGAAAGGAGGCTTAGGTTTTAATTTTAGCTTCTTCAGCTACCTGCTGACAGGTTTGGTTTCCACCTCCCACCTCCTCCCTCTCCCAGACCCTCTGCCTTAGCTAGAAATACTGAGAGCCAGAAAGCACTCTTGTTGCCAAAGGAAGAGCTGCCCAACCCTGTTGTCTTTAAATGGGAATTCAATGTACTTTACTTAATTGGAGTAACCAGTGAGCCGACAGCCTGAGCCCTCATCATAACCACTCTGCATTCCAGGCTTGTAGTGGAATTAACACTGTTTAACTGGCTGGCCTTTAAAGCCATTTAACCCAGGTTCATATCACAGAATCAGAGAAGGGTTTGGCTTGAAAGGTCATCTAGTTCCAACCGTCCTGCGACGGGCATGGACCAGACCGTATCTCTTACAGGTATTTAAAATGCTTATATTGGGCAATATGAATTTGCAGAAGAAAGGGAAGCCAAGTGTAGGAGTTCAGCCATAGATACAGGTCTCTGTTCCTTGTCTGAAATGGGAGCACTGCTTCACAGTGGGCAGAGCATGAGAAAGGTCATGAGCTCTTGAGCAAGTCATTGCTCTCTCGTTGCCTCTATTTCCTCACCTGTAAAAACAGCTGATCAGCTCTGTTGTTAAGGTGCTTGTTCTTAGTATAGTGTAATTAACTGATACAATTGATATGTGATGTTACTGATGGGCCTATTGACGGACATGCACTGATGGCATCGCCTTCTCTGATTCAGGCACCATGTTCCGCAAGAAAAAGAAGAAACGCCCGGAGATCTCTGCTCCTCAGAACTTTGAGCACCGTGTCCACACTTCCTTCGACCCAAAGGAGGGCAAGTTTGTGGGCCTGCCACCTCAATGGCAGAACATTCTCGACACGCTAAGGCGCCCCAAGCCAGTGGTAGACCCTTCAAGGATCACAAGGATGCAACTCCAGCCGATGAAGGTAAGAAAGAAAGCCTACTCTTCCCTGTCCCTTGGGCTTCCCTGCTCCTTGGGGAGGCCCAGGTTGAGGCAATATGTATTTAACTGGGGCTAAGGGTGGGATCAGTAGGGAAATCAGTGGATAGCCAGGGCTGGGCTTGGATAACACCACCCTGAGGCAATAGTAGCTTCATGAGAAATAAGGACGGTGGTGTCCTTAGCTGGCATAGTGTCACTGTTCAAACAACCAGCTGGCTGCCTGTCACCCTACCAAGGACCTGTGAAAGCTCCCACGGTAGCTGACAGGGCCTGGGATGTGTTCAGCTGTTGTCCATGGAAGCAGAGAGGAGAATTCATGGAGAGAGCTGTTTAGCAAGTGTGTCATTCTGGTGGGTGAGCAAATCTGGCTGGTGCTGAAGTTAACAGGAAGCCTGAGTGGGATGGAGCGGGGCAGCACTAGCTGGCTGCTCATGGGTGGTGAAGTGAATGAGACACAACAGGGAGCAGGGCTAAACTAAGGTTAGGCTAAAAGGGTTTATAAACCAGTGTTTGGACACAAAGTGGGACATAGTAAATAGGAGAACGTCCTTCAAGCAAGTCCTTCAGGAAGGAGAAACAAGTTCCTGATCCCTGTATTGGTACGGGTGTATTTAGATGGCTGTTATAATGGCACCAGGAGACTGTGTTCGTAAGTGACTGCTGTGTGAGGAGAGGCAGAGTCATGATGCCCTCTTGGAAAGCGAAATGCAAGAGAGTGGCAGAGTTATTGTGCTTCAAGTCCTGCTAGCTTGTGGGAAGGTTTTGTTCCTGGTTAATAAAAACCCTACAGGGGCCTAAAATCTCAGTGGCAAGTTGTAAAATAGAGATGATGCTACTTGGATTTTAGGAGGGACATAAAAGAAAGTTTTCTGATGAATATATAGCTTTTCGTGTACAGAGGCTTAAGACATAGGGAATAAATGGGAGTGCATTTTAGTATAATGCATGCATTAATGCAAAATCAAACCTGCAATTTAAATGGCACACCAGGATCTCTGAGCAAAATGCTGGTTTAGAAAGGAAAAACTTACTCAGAAAGTGCAGGTAGAAGAAAAGAGGGAGGAGGTATTGCCTCCTGGTTTATGGTGTCCTGAATGTGCTTTGAGGTTCAAATGTAGTAGATAGGACCACGATCCAGAGAAGAGAGAAACTGTAATAAGAGACCAACTTGGTTAGATCAGGAGCTCTCTAATGAGCTTAAACTGCAGGAGGATTGCTCAGAAGGGTGGAAACTAGGTCAAGTTATAAAGGGCAGATAGAAATGTCTGTAGGAACAAAACGGGAAGGCCAAGGCACAAAAAGAGATGTTCTTCTCCGAGAACATAAAGGGCACTATGGAGCCATGGTAAGTACACAGAGGAGGAGGAGGAGGATGAAGGAAGGAATTTGTCCCTGCTCATTTTGGAAGGAAGTTAATAACAGATGACACCGTGAGGGATCTTCACACACGTTTAAGAAGTCTCCCTTAAATGTTTAATGCTCTTTCTCCAGTCTATTGAAAAAGTTACCAGTGATCAGTGGGGTCACACAATTAACACGAGCATGATGTGGTGGGAATGCAGGCTAGAGCAAAGACACGAACAGAAATGAGACTTCCTAGATGAGTCCCATGTTTTTGAGGCAGCTGGGCCTAATGAAATTCAAGGAATTGCAGATCAGTGGGAATAATTTCGACTTCCAGAAAAAGACTGGAACAAATAAGCAAGTAATCTATTTGCAAGCACTTCCTGAGCGATAGCAGGGTAATAGCCAGGAGCCAGCATGGATTTATTAAGAGCAAATCATGTCAAGCAACCCAATTTCCATCAATCACAGGGTATCGGGCTTTGGGTCAGGGAGAAATGAGAGCTCTCTCCTGTATCTTGGCTTCACTTAGGCTCCTGATACTGTACCTATGGCATTCCCAGAGTAAACTGAGGTCATTTCCTCATGTATTAGGAAAAGTCTACTCAGAAGGGTGAGATGTAACTGTCAGAATAGAAATGGGTACGAAGAGATTTATTGGAGTTCATCCGGAGTTTAATACGAGTCAGTACTTTCATGTCTGACTTCTTAAACGTGTGGATGGTAAAAGCTGAGGGGAAGTGCAAATCTTTGAGAGCAGAGATGGAATACCAGCAGTGTTGAACAACTTGAGAAGGATCTTAAACTGATACTGGGGTTCTTTACCCCACTAGGTCCAAGTGCAGATACTCTCCTAGACTGCATAGCTTAGTTGGTTATTTCTGGTAAACTCCATTTGAACAAATTCCCTTTGAATTATACCAATGAATTTAAGATTCTATATTTATTTAATTATTTATTTGAAGTGTTAATTGGCCCTATTAGGCAGAGCCCTTATACAGAGAGTTCTGGATTCAGCTATCATAGAATCCCAGACTGGTTTGGGTGGAAGGGACCTGAAAGCTCCTCCAGGTCCAACCCCAACCCCTTCCACTGGAGCAGCTTGCTCCAAGCCCCTGTGTCCAACCTGGCCTTGAGCACTGCCAGGGATGGGGCAGCCACAGCTTCTCTGGGCACCCTGTGCCAGCGCCTCAGCACCCTCACAGGGAAGAGCTTCTGCCTTACATCCAACCTGGATCCCCCCTGTTTCAGTCTGAACCCATCGCCCCTTGGCCTATTGCTCCGGTCCCTGATGAAAAGCCCCTCTTCAGCATCCTGCTGCATTAATCTGCTGCAGCCTTTGAACACAGCTGCAAAGTAGAGCCAGCTCTGGTCCTCTCTGTCCACTGAGGACTGACTTGATGGACTAGAAGGCAAGCAGGGTGACTACAGCCTCATTTTAGGAAGTTTTTAGCTAGGAGCTGGGGTGAGCACTGGAGTGGATTTTCTACAGAGGCCTTAGCATCTGCCTTGGAGACTTGTACTTGGAGAGCATGTTAGATAGAGGTCTTTACAGAAGGACTCTTGCCCATGTACTCTGGATTAACTGGCTCTGGGTGTTTGTTCCCAATTCATTTCAAGTTATCCTTTGTCCCAGTTTGCCTTAACACAGATTCATCAGTTGGAGGAGGGCCTCTTTCTCTCCCATCTGCCCATGCAAGCACGAGCAGGGGTGTGGAGGCATCCTGCTGTGTGTCCTGTGACTTGGGGGTGTGCAGATCACATTTGTCAGACTCGTTTCTGAATTAGTACTCCTAAGTGAGTGCTTTATTGCTGTAATGGATACCTCTGGCGTATCTAATGGATGGATTGGAGCTGACAGAAGCCTCTTGTCACCCCACTGATGGATCTCAGAGACGGGGTTTCTGACCATTTGCTTTTGCTATTATTTTCCCTTATCAAGTTTGGTGCAGAAGTGATGGAAAGAGTTTAAGGAGTAGTGTCCTCGGTTTGCTGTTTGCTTGACAGCAGCCATGGAGGAAGGGAGATACACGTGGTGAAGGAGGCGTATTGCTACCACAGGACTGAAGGAGAGCTGAATTCCCTGCTGCAGGTGATGGTGTGAATGCAGCGGTAGGAGTTGGACGGTCCTTTCTTCACCTTGTTTGACAGCATCTTCCCTTCTGCCTGTCACTCGCAGGGACTGATCCTCATTTTGTGCACTGCAGTGGCATTCTATTGAAATTACTGGAGCTGCTGTTTTGCACCAGCTAAGTATTAGGCTCCATGTAATTAATTCAGCATCTCTAGAAGATCCCTGGAGCTCAGTTAGCAAACAGGAGCTTGCCATCCCTCTAGGGAAGGACTTTCTTCAGGCAGAGATTCAGGAAAGAGTAGGAGTGATCTTATGCTGTGAATTTCTATGAAGAAATGAAGTATTTTGGTTCCCAGCACTAAAAAAGCTTCTGTAAGCTTTTCAGTTCCACAATAAACAAGGTAGAGCACTGCATAATACACCGGCAGGTTCAAGTGTCCTACTTGCGTTGTGCTGTTGCTTGCTTGGATGGAAGCCTTGCTCTTCATGGCTTGCTTACAAAGCGGTTGTGAGCTGCTGTGACCCTTTGTTCATCACTGTTCATTCCAATAGCTTGGCGGAGCAGAGGATGCAGTGCTGGAACAGTGTGGTCCTCACTGGTGAGGATGAGGATGCATTAGCAAAAATTGTTGAGAACCAGGCTAAGGGAAGCAGATTACAACACTGCTGAGAGGGCTTCAGGGGGAGCTGAGCCTTGTATTGGAATAGCAAGGTGATGCTTGCAGCTAGAGCATACAACATGCTGCAGAGCTTGGTGAGCCCAGGTTAGTGATGTAGCGGAGCACAGTCTCGGCCAGAAGAGTCAGGAGTGCTAAAATAACCCTGGCTAACGTTTTTAGGAGTGTTGTCCTTTATAACATGACTGCAGCAGCAGAATTCCCTGTTCCAGCTGAAAGCTCTGCTGCCTCTGACAGGAGGATGTAACCCAAAGATGCCTGGGTTTAATTCCCCTCAGTAAAGGACAGTGAAAAGAAGAAGACAGAAGAAGAGAGGCTGCGTGGAGGCCTCAGAGCAGCTTCCAGTGTCTAAAAGGGGCTACAAGGATGCTGTAGAGGGACTCATCAGGGACTGGAGCAATAGGTGATGGGTTCAGACTGAAACAGGGGAATTTCAGGTTAGATCTAAGGCAGAAGCTCTTCCCTGTGAGGGTGCTGAGGCGCTGGCACAGAGAAGCTGTGGCTGCCCCACCCCTGGCAGTGCTCAAGGCCAGGTTGGACACAGGGGCTTGGAGCAAGCTGCTCCAGTGGAAGGGGTCCCTGCCCTGGCAGGGGTTGGAGCTGGAGGAGCTTTAAGATCCCTCCCAACCCAACCCATCCCATGTTTCTATGAAAATTCTCTCTTTTCCTGTATTCCTTGAGTCTTCTTTGACCAGACCAACAAAATCCAACCTTTGCCAAGATAAACTGAGCCTGTTTTTCCAACCCTCCCTTTCCCCCCTCCCCATGTGTTTCACAGACCGTGGTGAGGGGCAGCACAGTGGAAGTGGAAGGTTACATCTCCGGGATACTCAACGACATCCAGAAGCTTTCTGCCATCAGCTCCAACACTCTGAGGGGCAGGAGCCCCACCAGCAGGAGGAGAGCGCAGTCCCTGGGGCTGCTGGGGGAGGACAGACCCCCCGACATGTACCTTCAGAGTCCTGAAGCAGACTGGGCAGACAAATATGGAAACTACCTCAATTGCAACGGTGGGGCCAAGGTGACCCGGAGGCAGACGATGTGGCCAGACTATAAACCCCGACTGGAAGGGCAGCCTCATCCCAATGGAATGGTAATGAAAGCCCAGTCCCTGGGGCCCTCCGAGTTCCAGGGTGCTGATGGCAGCTGCCTCCAGCGTGCCGCTGGGTTGCAGCCCATGCCGGCTCTGCCAGGGGACAGCGAGAAGGCAGGCAAGAAGAGCTCAGATGAGTGCTGGCCTCAGCCTTGTCTGGTCCGACAGGCAAACTCCAGGCCCTCAGGGGAGGGCAGCCCCAGCTCCAAATCAAGGGAGAACAGCTTGAAGAGGAGGCTCCTGCGCAGCGTGTTCCCCTCCTCCAGTGGCTCCAACAAGCCAGGCCCTGCCCTGCAGATGAAGGTAGAGTTTTTCAGTGGGGTTTGGTGAGGGCGATGTTGAATTCCCAGTTGCAGAGGTTGCTTTCACAGCTGCACAAATCTGATTGCAAACACCAGAGAATCATAGAATAGTTTGGGTTGGAAAGGACCTTAAGATCATCCAGTTCCAACCCCCTGCCATGGGCAGGGACACCTCGCTCTAAACCATATTACCCAAGGCCTCTTCCAACCTGGCCTTGAACACTGCCAGGGATGGAGCATTCACAACCTCCCTGGGCAACCCATTCCAGTGCCTCAGCACCCTCACAGGAAAGAATTTCCTCCTTATATCCAATCTAAACTTCCCCTGTTTCAGTTTGAACCCATTACCCCTTGTCCTGTCACTGCAGTCCCTAATGAAGAGTCCCTCCCCAGCATCCCTATAGGCCCCCTTCAGATACTGGAAGCTGCTCTGAGGTCTCCACACAGCCTTCTCTTCTCCAGGCTGAACAGCCCCAGCTTTCTCAGCCTATCTTCATATGGGACCATCTGTTATTGTTGTGATTAATGGTGGAATCAAACCAGACCTGGTCAAGGGGAATGTGTAGGGTGCCTAAGCATCACAGAACAGCAACCAGATCTACATGAGAAAGTCTCATCAGTGGAGCTGTGCTTGCAGGAGGCTGGGGACTTCCTTATTTTTGCCCCTCTATATAGTAAAGGCATAACTTAGATGCTTTGTGTGAGTGTAAATGTGCTTTTGCCATTTGGGGAATTGCCATCATTTACCATAGTAATGTATTCTTCTGCCTTTGCAAAACAGAACTGCCTCGGGAGAGCTTGCTGGCTGCAGCTCTATCTGCCAAGCTGCCTACGATAGGAACCCAGAGGACTGTCTATGGGATATCTGACCGTTGGGTTTTGGTGAGGGTGGGACAGCTCATAGCTCCATCTCCCCCAGGAAAGCTATCCTGAACGAGTGACTCACTTGAACTAGGAGAAAACCTCTGGTTCTTGTTACTGGATAGGAAATGCAGCCCTTGAGGCCACTGTTGTAATCCATCCCAGTCTAACCCAGCACTCCCTGTCCTTGCAGAGCTGTTGGGTGGTTTCAGAGGTTGGGCTGGTGCTTGGCCAGGCTCATTTCTAACAGATGTGGAGCTCCTGAACTCGGAGAGAGACAACAGGAACCAACAACACTGAGTGTTCCATAGTGTATTGTGGGGTGGGACTTGCTCCGACCTGGCTTCTTGCAGCGTGCATAAGGATCAGGCTCAAGGCTTTCAGACACAGCCTTCTCCCTGCTCATCCCCTTTCTGAGTGAGTGAGGTTTATAGGAATGCAGTTCTCGTGTAGCACAGACTGCACCCATTGCTCTTGGTGTCTCTGGGTGATCTATGCTGCTCAGAGGCCAGTCCTGAGTACTTAGAACTGACCCCTTCTTTCTTCTCTACAAGAGTGCCTTTGCCACAGCACTTTGATGAGGAAGAGCAGAGGTTACCAGTCAAACAGTGCGGGCTCCTGGGTGTTTGAATTCAACTGTGTGAGAGGAGAAGAGCAGCAAAGACCTTGAGGTTTTCCAGACCATCTCCCTGCTCCCGTGAGGGATCTCTGCTGTCACTGGCAATTGTTTCTTCTAAGCTGTTCTGATGAAAACCTTATTCTCCCCCCCAGATGGAGGCGGTGACATGTAATTGTGATGTATGAGAAACGCATCACTGGGGAGGAAACGCATGGGGGTACAGCTGGCTGAAAACGGGGAGGTGGGCGCCTTGACGCACTGCTTAGAGTCACCATGGGAAGGTCGGATGCTCTTTCCTTTCAGCTTAACACGAGGGAGGAGGAGTGGGAGGCCCAGTGACATCTCAGAGTGTCCAGACTGTGTCTCTACAGGGGCTGTCAAATGATGGGAGCAGGAAACGACGCCTGCACGTGGTTAGGCAAGCGTGTGTCAGCTCGCACGCGTGTTGTGTGCCCTCTGCGTGCTCTAGCTTACATAAACCCTTCTTTTCTTCCTCCTGCTCTGTTTTCCCTCTCCCTGCTGAGACAAAACAAGAGTTGGGAAATGAAGCCCTCGTTGCCATGAGCGTGTCTGTGCAGGCTGCAGGGGTGGAGCTGCTGAAGGAGGAGGAAGGAGGCAGGTTGTGCCTGTGCCCTCCCGCTCCGCAGGGCCAGGAGCTGCTCACTCAGGCTTCCAGGGCTCCTGTGTGCCTGTGGGAGAAGGAGCCCTGTGTGAGGCTTATGCAGATTTCACTGCTGACAGAAATCCTTGATTAAACCCAAAGTGCCTGGAATGAAACACTCTACAATTATTTTCTGTCTGAGACGGGCAGGATGAGAGCCCTTCAAGAGCTCTATCTGCTGGGAGGTTTCCGTTCCCATGTGCATATTATTAACTTTATTAATAATCTGTCTCAATTGTGAGAGAGAAAAAGCTGCTGCTTTGAAGTTTTTATTTTGCCCTATAATATAAATGATTGGCTGGCTCCTTCTGAAGTTGCTACTTTGGCAGACCCACCATTACTTTACATAGAGCTAAGTAGATAATGTAATTTAAACCTTGCTCCATGGTGTTGGAGTTTAAGCAGTTAACATTTCCAGCCCTTCAAGATTTATCCTCCTTAGGAGCCCTGTGCATAGTGTTAGCATGGGAATGTGTATCCCGAAGCCACATTGCTGCAGGCTGGGATCTTAGTGCATCTCCTCAACTAAGCAGGGCTGGGCCAGGTTGGTGCTTGAGTGGGAGGTCTCCCAAACCTGGAGTGCTTTGGGAAGGAGCACAGGTAACCCGAATTCATCACCAGTCAGTGCAGAGCCAATGGATGCCAAGGTGGATACTCCTCCATGGCTGAAGCCTCACACTGGATGCACACAGAGCTATCCTGGTTGAAGGCTCTTTCCCAAACCCCAGTGCTAATTCCATGCCTGATCGACAGGAATGCTCTGCAGGTACCAGTGGAAAGCGCAGGGGAAGTTTTCAGTAGGCAGAGCAGAATTACCCAAAGGGAATTAGGCCAAGACATCAAAGTGATTTACAGCTTTGGCACGGATCCTCTTTCCTTTTACATATAGGGAGATCAGAGGCGCAGAGGGATAAAGGATTTTTGCATTCTCTGCAGCACAGGTTGCCCTGAGCTCTGATGGCGAGCTCGGAATGCTTTAGAGCAGCTGGCTCTTCCTGGGGGTCTGGGGTTTATCTGGTATTTATTTTGAAGGTATGTGTTTTAAAAGGTCCCTTTTAAACTGCCTCCATCTGGGGGTCCTTAAAGCATAGCACCCATCCTGTAACTGATCCCTGAAAACCTGCATCCACGGGGCTTCCCCTAGTCATGCAGCCTATGTTCATAGACTCATAGAATGGTTTGGGTTGGAAAGGACCTTAAGATCATCCAGTTCCAACCCCCTGCCATGGGCAGAGATGCCCCACACTAGACCATGGTGCCCGGTGTTCAACCTGCCTTGAACACTGTCATGTCCTTATGCTGAGGACGCCAGAACCCCCTCCCCTGACCACTGGTCATGCTCTGGAGATGCAGCCTAGCACTTGGGTGGTTTCTTGGCTGTGAGTGCACGCTGAAGCCAGGCCAGGTTCAGTTTCTCATTGACCAAACGTTGGGCAGAACCCAACAGAAAGGAAAGAGCCCAGAGCTCTTGACTCCAATCTGCCACAAAACGCCCTTGGCCAGAGTGGGATAGCACCCAGCTGGTTCCTGACACTTCTTTCTTCTCAAGAATCTAGGGGCTGCAGTGACAGGACAAGGGGTAATGGGTTCAAACTGAAACAGGGGAAGTTTAGATTGGATCTAAGGAGGAAATTCTTTCCTGTGAGGGTGGTGAGGCACTGGAATGGGTGCCCAGGGAGGTTGTGAATGCTCCATCCCTGGCAGTGTTCAAGGCCAGGTTGGACAGAGCCTTGGGTGAGATGGTTTAGAGTGAGGTGTTCCTGCCCATGGCAGGGGGTTGGAACTGGATGATCTTAAGGTCCTTTCCAACCCTAACTATTCTATGATTCTATGAATCTAACCATTGCTTTTCCTTCCTTCCACTCCCTTTGCTCTCCTCAAAGCCTACCGCTCTCTTCAGGCCCCAGCACTGGGGTTCCCCGCGCAGCCCCGCAGCCAAGGCGCAGTCTCTTCCCCCGGACCAGCCTGCATCCGATTTCCCCAGGATGCTCTCAGAAGCTGGGACCCCACAGAAGTCCCCACCGGTGGAGAAGGCGACGGCAGTGCCACAGGGCAGGCCCTCCCCTGCTGGCTCTCCTCGGAACAGGCAGACGCAGACGAGCTCCAGCAACCTCCACCTTCCCCAGGACCCTGCTGGGAAGGGGCAGCTGGGCGGCGAGGACCCGGTGGTGGTGACGCACGAGCAGTTCAAGGCTGCCCTGAGGATGGTTGTGGACCAAGGGGATCCCCGGGCGCTGCTGGAGAACTACGTGAAGATTGGTGAAGGGTCCACGGGCATTGTGTGCATTGCTCGCGAGAAGCACTCGGGGCGGCAGGTGGCGGTGAAGATGATGGACCTGAGGAAGCAGCAGCGCCGGGAGCTCCTCTTTAATGAGGTGAGGGTGGAGATGGGAGCGGTTCTGCTGCCCACCGTGAAACCAGTGTGGTAAAGAGAAGGGGAGAGCAGGAGGCATCTCCTTGTAATGGCGTTATAGAATCATAGAACCACAGAATGGTTTGGGTTGGAAAGGAGCTTAAGATCATCCAGTTCCAACCCCCTGCCATGGGCAGGGACACCTCACAATAAACCATGGCACCCAAGGCTCTGTCCAACCTGGCCTTGAACACCGCCAGGGATGGAGCATTCACAGCCTCCCTGGGCAACCCATTCCAGTGCCTCACCACCCTCACAGGAAAGAATTTCCTCCTTATATCCAGTCTAAACTTCCCCTGTTTCAGTTTTAACCCATTACCCCTTGTCCTATCACTCCAGTCCCTAATGAAGAGTCCCTCCCCAGCATCCCTATAGGCCCCAAATGGCCTATATGCTGGAAGGGAAATGACTGGGGCGTGAAGGCTACTGTGTTGTACTCATAGGTACGGTTGTGCATACTTGCTTTGTTAGGTAAGACTAGATGTCGTTAGGGATTTGGTGGTGGTCAAGTGTTCACTGTGTTTTTACAGGTGGTGATCATGAGGGACTATCAACACGTCAACGTCGTGGAGATGTACAAGAGCTACCTGGTGGGAGAGGAGCTCTGGGTGCTCATGGAGTTCCTACAGGGGGGAGCCCTCACAGACATCGTGTCTCAGATCAGGTATGAAGCTGAATCCGACGCATCAGCGCCTGTGTTCCCAGCTGACAGGGAAAAGCAGGAGAGTGGAGAGCTCTGGGAAGAAGGGTTTCCCTCAGACCTTGTGTCTGCAGTGCTCTGAAACCACTACACTTCTTAATTGTCATTCATTTCAAGTATGGGATAATGCTTCTGATGTAGAAGGAGCCTCATTTACTGGACATCCCTTTCGATACTTGCTATTTATCTCCTTGATAACCTTCCCTGTGAAATACAGTACCCATAAAGAGGAGTGTTTACTATTTCTGTTGAATTCTGGCCAGGAAGCTCATTGAATACGTATTAAAGAGCACCCAGAAACAGTTGTCAGTGGTACAACCTCAGTGAGATTGAATTTGTGGCAAACTCCTCTGGAGAAGTGCAGCAGAGCCTGGAGAGCTGGACTCCTTCCCAAATTTCATTGCCTAAAGATAGCAACTACCGGACACTCTCCTAAATTTGTTTTCCCATCCACACCACTTCATATTCATTAAGGCCCCAAGTATTTCTGTAGGGCAAAGAAGCTGTTCTCAGATGGCCTTTAGAGTCCCAATCACAAGGTGCTCTGGTGCTGCAGTTATGATGTTTGTGTCTTACCCATGACCCTGGAGCACCCTTCTCCTGCTCCCAAGCAATCCTGCAAGACTGGTGCAGGGAACGCTGATGAAAAGACTGACCAAGGGAGTCTGTAAGATGAGCTTTCCTTCTTTGAACACTCAGAATCTGAATTGGGTTACAATTAGGCAGTATTGCTAACGCTAATTGTGTTTACTTCTTTTTAATCACAGTATGCCTTTAATTCGCTTACGTGCTTTGACTGGCCTGGCGTGGATTTAAGGCACATATCTTGCTCTGTTGGGTTTTGGCTTCTCTGCTTTGAAGTGTATCTGTGGTGTGTCTGGGAGCTGTAAAGAGCACCTTGTCCTCTGTAGCCTCTACAATCCCATGGATGAGGAGTGTCTTGGACACTTGGAGCTGGCCAGGCCCTCCAGCATTGAGTTCAGAGCCACATCTCCAGCGGCTCATAGCAGCCTTCCAGTGTCTGAAGGGGGCCTATAGGGATGCTGGGGATGGACTCTTCATTAGGGACTGCAGTGACAGGACAAGGGGTAACGGGTTAAAAGTGAAACAGGGGAAGTTTAGATTGGATCTAAGGAAGAAGTTCTTTCCTGTGAGGGTGCTGAGGCACTGGAATGGGTTGCCCAGGGAGGTTGTGAATGCTCCATCCCTGGCAGTGTTCAAGGCCAGGTTGGACAGAGCCTTGGGTGCCATGGTTTAGTGCGAGGTGTCCCTGCCCATGGCAGGGGGTTGGAACTGGATGATCTTGAGGTCCTTTCCAACCCGAACTAGTCTATGATTCTATGAGAAGTTTGGGAAGCAAAGGTTAAGCCTGCAGAGTGCTGAGTTGTGGCACTGCAGAGCCAGTGAAACTCCTGCAGCGCTCAGCTGGTATTAGGAGCAATGGAAGGAGAGAGAAATGTTCTGAAGAGGTTTATGGAGGGTCTGGGTGGTTTATACCCACCGATGGGACTGAATTCCATTGCGGGAGCTCAACCTAGATGTGAGTTACTTTATGAAGCCTTCCTTTGAAGCTTTTAATGAATGCTTGTTTTTCCACATAGTGGAAACAGGATCTGTTCTAAGCATAGCATTTATCAAAGGTAAGCTGCGAGCCTTTATCAGTTTTTCACAGGGAGGAAAATACCCTCATTGCACTCATTAAACACTTGCTGAGGCTGATAACTGATCTGCATCTCCAGGAGTGAGGTAATCCTCTAGTAATCTGGTTTGCACTATGTAATCACTTGACTGAAACCAAATTCCATACGTGACAAGCTGAAAGCATACTTCTCGTTATCTTCGAGAACCACAGAGCTCACTGTGAAATGAAGAGCACTGTTTCTATGCAGGTTAGGTTCTTTGTTGGGGTAGTCCCTCACTTAGCCTTTGCCCTTCTCCTTTTACAAGCTAAATGACAAGTAGCCCCTGCCATCCTTCCGATGTGTTTGCCATCAGCGTGGCACAGTGCAGCTACACGTAGGTGTCCTGGTGAGATGGTCAGTTTGGTAGAGTAAGGTATGGAATACCAACCAACCAATGGAAGGATACATTTGTCACTGCTTGTACTCAAGGTGTGCTAACAGAGAGAGTGGTAACTCTCAGGAGTGTCTTCCCTCCTTGTAGTCTGTGATGCCTTTAGTTGGATATAAGAGCATCCAAAGTATCTGGCTGCACGAAACCTGTAAAGGATCCCCATATTCACTCTCAAATGATGTGTTTAGGTGCTTGCTGGATAAAGTTGCACAATGAGCCCTGTGAATAATGGCTTTAATACATTGGCTTAAGAAAAAGCTGTCTCAACAGTTCCTATGGCACCTTGGCACAAAGAAGCAGGCTTTCCTATCAGAACTGCTTGAAACAGCATCTTCCAGAATGAATTGAGACAAGACTTTCAATGCAATTTCTCTCTATTAGACTTATGAAAACTTCAGATTGCTAACCATTGGGGCAGGGATGTTTTCAACAGTAAAAGGCAGTCATAGAAGAGCAGTAAAAGTGAGACAGTAATGGTCATGGAGAACCAAAGCATGTATCTGCAGCTCAACTTCAACATTGCACTATGCCTCCAAAGAGGACCTGTGGACGAGTACTGTCAACTGCCCAGTGCAATGCAGTTAACCCTCTGTATCCTCTCATTTCAGGCTAAATGAAGAGCAAATTGCCACAGTGTGTGAATCAGTGCTGCAGGCTCTCACCTATCTTCACTCTCAGGGGGTCATTCACCGAGACATTAAGAGCGACTCCATCCTTTTGACGCTGGATGGAAGGGTATGTTCCTCAGGCAGACGGTTTCCTGCCGCCTGCTGCTGCAGCCTCAGCCTGTCTCCTTGTGTCCTTTCTGTTCACAACCTCCTTTGTGAACAAGAGGCTCACAGACCTCTCACTCCCTTTTGTCTTTGTCTCTGGTGTTCCCCTCCAAGGTCCTTTCCAACCCTAACTATTCTATGATTCTATGTTGTTCCAAAAGTGTTTTTAAGCTTGGCTCCTTTTCTCTTTGCACAGGTCAAGCTCTCAGATTTTGGCTTCTGTGCTCAGATCAGTAAAGATGTACCCAAGAGGAAGTCCCTAGTAGGTACTCCCTACTGGATGGCTCCAGAAGTTATTGCAAGGATACCATACACTACCGAGGTAAGGGACCGCTTCCCCGATGCCGGAGGAGGTAGGAGATCGTATCCTGAAGTGTCACAGGAAAAGAACTGTTGGCTTTTCTAGGAAGAGCCTGTTTAAAATACCAATACAATCCTGACTCCATGCTTGATCGGGATGGTATCAATATTTATATCAATATTTCTGGAAACAGGAGCAGAACAGGTTGTTCTCCTTCCGGGAACGAGGCATAAACTTGCTCTATTCTTATACCTGAGGCTTGGCCTAGACTTGTACGTGCTCTCGTGTGGACAGATGCTGGCAGGGAGCAGCCTGTGGCATGATATGGATCAGTAAATCAGTGCCATCAAGGGAGGGGAGGAGAGGAGGGAAGGCACAGATGTGAGCTCTGGCTTTACAGGCAGTGGCAGCAGAATGACTAGTGCTGCTCACCAACCAACCAGCCAGGAGCAGCACAAGCAGTTGCTTGCAGACCTTTCCGTGTTGCAACATCAGCGAGGCTCAGTCCTAGCTGGAAAGCTCTTTGTTAACAGTCCAACGGCAGCAATGGGAATGGGTTAATGTTTTACTCTCAGGGCCGTTTGTCAGGGGTGGGTTGTTGGGGAAGCAGCAAAGCAAGGACCTGTTGCTCTGAATCGTGTGTTGACCTGACATGGGCTTCCGCAGGTGGATATCTGGTCTCTGGGGATCATGGTGATAGAGATGGTGGATGGAGAACCCCCCTATTTTAGTGACTCTCCAGTGCAGGCAATGAAGAGGCTCCGTGACAGTCCTCCTCCCAAGCTGAAGAACTTCCACAGGGTGAGCATACTGCCATGTGAACCTGATGGTGATCATGGGGAAACATCCCGATCCGATCATGTTCCCAGTAGAGCCCGTGTGAAAGTCATCCTGCTAGCACATGTTGGTGAACTTCTTTGGCCCTGGTGCCTCAGTGGCTGCAAGCTGGTGCTGACAGCTAGTGGCTGCTCTGGGAAATAGCCCTGATAATGTAAGGTCACTTGGGCATCAACCTGGTAATGCAAATCAAAGCTGCTTCAGGCGGACCCAAGAGTTAACATCTGGCTGAGGCTGATAGAGTAGCTCATCTTCTATGGAAGTAAATAGGAGGATTGCTCTTGAGAGTTTCCAGTTTCGTGGCTTTCAGGACTGCAAAGGTTGCATCATGGTTTGAACAGGAGAGCTCATGGAGATACTGCAGCCACTTTGAAGATGAGCTCAGCTTCATGATTCCATACGGCAGAGTAGCAGTGGCATAAGAAACACAGTGATTAGCTTTCATAGAATCATAGAACAGTCAGGGTTGGAAAGGACCTTAAGATCATCCAGTTCCAACCCCCTGCCATGGGCAGGGACACCTCACACTAAACCATGGCACCCAAGGTTCTGTCCAACCTGGCCTTGAACACTGCCAGGGATGGAGCATTCACAACCTCCCTGGGCAACCCATTCCAGTACCTCACTACCCTCACAGGAAAGAACTTCTCCCTTAGATCCAATCCCTGTTCCAGTTTTAACCCATTACCCCTTGTCCTGTCACTACAGTCCCTAATGAAGAGTCCATCCCCAGCATCCCTATAGGCCCCCTTCAGATACTGGAAGCTGCTCTGAGGTCTCCACGCAGCCTTCTCTTCTCCAGGCTGCCAGTCACCACTTAGAGCCAGTCCTCCTTCCATTTGAGCCCAAGGCTCTCAGATCACCCAGCTCTGCAGCATCCTGAGCTGTTGGGCCTTTCCAGTTCAGCAGAGGATGTGCAGCTGCTAAAAGTGACTTATTTAGCAGAGCAGACTGCAGAACTGACAGCAGACACTCACCATCCACAGCTGCTCTGCCCTCTTTCCAACAGGGATCTGCACTTCAAGGGCACATCCCGGACCCAGGGCTTGCACCCCTTGGCTGCGCTGGTTGGGATCACCCACCTTAGGTGGTGAGATGACCCTGCACAGGCTGTGAAAGCCAGAGGTGTTCAGAGGCTTGCTCTGCTCCACTTTGTCCTGGGGAGCAAACTGGCACCAGCAGAGCCCTGGGTTAGCAGGCCAGTGGCCGTGGTCCCCCCATCTCCCTGCTGTGTGAGCAGAGCTCAGCACCAGCTGTGGATCCATCCCGATTGCAGTTAATGGTGCACTGTGGTCAAGGACTCTAGGATGGGTAGAGCAGGTTGAACAGGCACCACCTGGGGTGATGTGTGCTGCGTTCCTAAAGTCAAAGTTGATTTATGGGCAGTGATCAATCCTGGTGCTCGTACTGAGCTCTGTTGTGCCTCCTCCCTCTAGCAATCACCATGAAACCGTTCAAAGCGCTTGTAAAATAAGCAGTGGCTCAGTGTGAAGAGCATTCCATGAGCTACGTCCACGTTAATCAGAGCTGGGAAACGCCCCCCAGTCTGAAGTGGGTGTAATTAGTGGCATTAAATTAAATACATGCCAGGCTGATTGTTTTATTCCATTTTAATGATGCAGAGGATTACCCCCAGCAAGAGATGCTCAGCCTTCGAGTGGCTCTTGGGGCTGGCTGCCCAATGGGCTTTTATACCTCTTGCAAAGCACGAAGCTGCTGGTGGTTTTAGGTACACTGTGCTTCAGCTTCTTGTACCTGCAGCATCAGGCCTCCAGGCTCCCAGCACCAGTTTGGGAATCCTGTTGAACTGCTCCATTTCCTCAGTCTGTGGCCAGTAAAAGAATGACCTGCTCACCAGTGATGTGATGGGCACTGGGGGCAGAAACCCGGTGAATTGTTGAGTTTAGAGGCAGGAAAGATTAAATAAGAAAATGGGAAATAGTTAACTGAGATGGAAGGGTCTGGCTGTTGGGTGTTAGCTTGCTGTGCCCCATTAAAACAAACCTTGTGCTACCAGTGACAGAAAGGCACTGCTGCAGCATGGGCGGATGCTTCCTCATGCTGTGTCCTATAGAGAAGCAGGGCTGCAAAGCTGGAAGCACAGGCTCTTTTACCCAAATCCCCCTCAGCAGCCTGTTGTTGCATGGTTCCTTGGGGGTTTGACCTGGTTGCTTTTCCACAGACCTCCCCAGTCCTAAGAGACTTCTTGGAGAGGATGCTGACCCGGGATCCGCTGGAAAGAGCAACGGCCCAAGAGCTTCTGGACCACCCCTTTCTGCTCCAGACAGGACTTCCCGAGTGCCTGGTCCCCCTCATCCAGCAGTACAGGAAGCGGACCTCTACCTGCTGACCTGCCCAAGGGAAATGGCAGGGCAAGTGATGGTTCCTAAACCCGGAGTCACCGGGATCAAGAGGTTTTGTTAATCCTGACACATGAGCAGGGCACTCTCGCCCCGGGAATGGTGCTTGGAACTTGTCACTTTAGAGGCTGAGCGGGAATCGCATCCTTGCATCCTCAGCCTGCTGTGGCTCCTCTTTTGCTGAAGACAATCAATGCAGCCTGGATCCGGATGGGAGCAAGAGTGTCTCAAGAGCAAAGCGGGTGTTTGATGGCGTCTGGATTGCTGCTTCTGAAGGGTGGCATTTTGAAGCTGCGTACCCGGGTCCCTGCAACCCTCGGCTGCTGACTACTGAACTGGAACGATATTTCCCCGTGGCAAATGTGATCTTCATGTCCTTGGTTGTGCACTGGAGCCCTGAGCTGACTCAGCTGCGCCCTATGGGGCACAGGCCCCTCGGACCCCTCAGACAATGCCCAAAGACGTGACAGGTTTTTGCCTCCGAGACCTTTTCATTTCCTTGCGTGAGATGTGGACCTCCAAAGCTGTGCGTGCATTCCTAAGGAGCAGATGGGATATGTATATACTGGGTTCTAAATGGCTTTCGTGCATCACCGTGCTTCTCTGTTGAGGAATGTGTATGCTTCAGTGGTCAATCCCGAATCCATTTCATGATCTTTAACTTCTGGAGGGGGAAACCCTCGGATACAGGCTTCAAACCAGACTCTGCCAACAGGGATTCCTACCAGCAGGATCTCGCGGTTGGAAGTTCACTACATGCAACACCTCCAAGTGCTGGTTGGAATGGGGGGGAGCAGTGAGAGCTGGCTCCTGTGTTTGATTTCCAGGCACCTTTCTCTCCCAGTCCTTTCTCCCTGGGACAGTCACTGGGGAGCACTTTAAGGATGCTCAAGGAGACTGAATGGGGAAGTTTCCGCTCTCCTGCGCATCCCAGAGGCAGTTTGGTGTTCACATGAGGTGCTTTTCTGAGCCTCTGTCTCCCCCCCTTGCTACTGCAGACAACGGGGAGCTGAGAACCCTTTGCTGTATGTTCCGTTCTTGGTGTGCCCCTTCCCCACCGTCCCTTTGCCGCTGCCTGTGGAAGGTTACCGGTTGTCTGAACTGCTCTTTTAGCTCTTTTCCAATAGCTGTAGCTGTGTGGTTGATACCCTTCCTGACCAGTGGGCTGGTCGAGGGTCGTTGGGCTCGAGGTCAGGATGTGACGTTGTACAGTGATGGTGCGTGGTGTTGTGAGGTCTCAAGAGTATAATGTTACACGGGGAGCTCAGATCCTCTTTGGAAACTCCAGATACAAACTGAGTGGGATTTAAGCTATTCCTGTCTCAAACGGAACCTCAGAGCTGCAGAAGCTGTCACTGAGCTCTGTCCTCTGCTACTGGCTCCAGTTCCAGACCCTGCTTCAGAACCGAAGCCGCAGTGGATTACTTGAAGTAATTTGGGATGGAATTCATCTGCACTGATGCCAGGCAGCAAATGGAGGGCACCCAGTCTGCGAGGCACACAGCTTGGCTCCAGAGACCACGGTGAGGGGAGCACCTGAGGTGTTCATCTCTGCTGGCTCAGATACCTGCTGAAGGACCATCGCTGTCTCTCACCCCACTCTGCCTGTGGCCAGTACAGGGATGGGGCTGGTTTGTCTGCGTCTGGGGCTGGTGAACTTGGTTGGAATGAATTCACCTGCCTCCTCTTTAGCTGCACTGGAAGGTTTTGATGTAAAATGTTTCTGTATTCCAGATCTCCTGCTTTTTTTATGCCGAAGAGCAGGGCTTTGAGAAGATTTCTAATTTGAAACAAAGGGCCCTGCTTGCCTGTAGTTGTGAATCCTTTGCACTCGTGTTTTAAATTAAAGTAGATCTTGATTTATTCATAACCCTGGTGCGGTGCTGAGATGCTTTAAAATACGTCTGTGCTGTGAAGGGAATCACAGAACCAACAGGTTGGAAAAGACCTTGAAGATCAAGTGGGAACCTCCAAGCTTGGTCTGACTTACCTGTTCCGTGGTGATGTGGCATTGAAAGCAAGAAGGGGCTGCAGCAGGAGCCTGGATCCTGAAACAAGCAGCTCTTGGAGGCAGGGGTGATGGGTTTAACGTTTACACCTTGGCTCAAGCCTGAGCCCAGCCAGGGCCCTGCATTCAAACAGCTTAGGAAGTTTTAAAACCTCATCATCGTGTTAGTGAAGGATGCGGAAAGCTTCCGTCCTTCAGCCCAACGTACCCTCAGACACCCGACTCTTGCGTTCCTCTCCTCACAGTCGGTGCATGGCACGTCACCACGGACCCGCTCCAGTACTTAGATGAGAGTGGAATCAAACATGAAGCCTGAATAAGCCTAGGTTAGGGAAAAGGCTGAAGAAGCATCTCCAGGGCGAGCAGCTCCCTCCCCGGGAGCAGGCAGGAGGAGCAGGGTAGGGTTGTGGTCTGCACTGCAGTGCCTTCAGGAGGGAGCGGTGGCTCACGCGGGGTGGTACCCAAGCATCCATCCATCTCTCTGCGGCACCCAGAGCCTGCTCCATGGGCAGCACGCTCCGAGGTGGTGCCTGCTCCAAGCTCCTTTGTGCAGTGGCTTTCAGCAGGGTTGAATGCAGGGGTTCTCTTGGTTCACCTCTGCTTTCACCAGAATCCTCCCCATTTAGGATCCCTTCCCTCAGCCCCGCAGGCATCCCGGCTCTTCCCCGCTGCCACAGCCCCGGCAGGCAGCGCATGGAGCCCTTGGAAGGTGCCTGGGTGGATTTATAGGAGCAATTTGCTGACTCCACCAGGGAGCCTGCTCCTGCTGGTGCCTGTCCTCAGTCAGGGCTCTGCTACCCACCGCAGCAGCGTATGAGCCCATCTATTCCAGAGCAGCCCAAATCTGTCTCCAGAAGCAGCGATCACAGAAGGGCCCTGCATCAAATGAACCCCCTGACTTCTCATTGTTCAGAAGGAGCCTGCACTTCCCCTGCAGCCTGGAGACACCGTTTTGCTGGGCCCTAGGGCCCAGTCTATAGATGGGGTAATAACAAGTGGTGAATCTTGCCCATGGGGGGTATGTGAGGGGCAGGGAGAGTGGCTCTAAAATACAGTAGCTGCAGCGCAGCCGTTCCTGCTGTGTAGCAATGGTTGTGTGTGCATTGCTTATCCTTATTAATGGAGATAGAAGGTAACTGTGGCTCATTCAGGACAAAGTGAGCCCCAGCCGTAGCTCTCACCTGGATCCAGTTTGTAGGAATATGTAAAGCAGCTGCTGGTCCAGCAGAGTGGCAGCTCAATGTCCGAAGGCAAAGTTCCCTCTAATGGCAAGGAAGGGAGCAGAGAACTGTCCCCATTGACCACTCCTCACTTACAGACTCGGGCATCACAGTTGTACAGACTGGAGGGAATGAGTTACTGCTTACAAAGGAGGAAAGCATGGCCAGGCATCGGTTTGGAGCTCTGAGGAGCCATCGAAGGCTCCTAAGTCCCTGACTGCCTTGGGAGTGGTGATGGAAACAAAGCTCAGCAACAGCCACATGCATTTGGTGGGGATTTGCCTCAGTGTTTGGTTGGCAGCATCCCATTCACAGGGATCTGCATCTGTTCACCGCAGCAAACTGCTCTGCTCAGGCTTCTACTGTGTCTGTACAGATCCCGGTGATGCCAAAGGGGCCAACAGCAAGGCAGGCCCAGGGGAGCGCTGCGGTCCCAGTGGCGTGGATGCTCCCACTGCCACCAGTTCCCAGTGGGTTGGGACGAGGCACCAAGAGGAAGCTTTCCCCTGGGCTGAGCTGCTCACCCCTGTGTGCCATGGCTGCCTATGGGGTTTTAGGAGCTTCCCTCTCTGTCAGTGCTGAGGTCTCCTCCACAGAACCAGAACAGAGCTCACCTGCTCTTTGTCAGCAATGCTCTTGTTTCAGTGCCTGGGGTCTGTATCCCTTCCTGTGCTCAGAGTTCTTTATGGCTTTAAGAACGTAGCACAAGCTGGGGCTCAGGAACAGAAGCATTTGGGCAAGAGAATGTGGTGGTGGGGAATGAGCTTTAGGATGGGCCCGATGGAAGAAGAAAGCGTGGGAAGGAGCTGAGGCTGTGCTCAGCCTGGTGCTGCTCCAGGCGCTGCTGTTGTCCCCTTCAGTTCGGTTTCTGTGTGTAGGAGCCTCATTACAGAGTCCTGTCTGATCCAGCTGCCAGATCCCCCTGCGGTCAGCAAGCATCCTATGGGAAGTAAAGCCAGAGGCAGGGCTGCCCAGCCACGGGAGGAGATGGAACCATGGGAGCATGGAAGGGTTTGGGTGGAAGGGACCTTAAAGCTCCTCCAGCTCCAACCCCTGCCACAGGCAGGGACCCCTTCCACTGGAGCAGCTTGCTCCAAGCCCCTGTGTCCAACCTGGCCTTGAGCACTGCCAGGGATGGGGCAGCCACAGCTTCTCTGGGCACCCTGTGCCAGCGCCTCAGCACCCTCACAGGGAAGAGCTTCTGCCTAAGAGCTCAGCTCAGGCTCCCAGTTCAGTTTAAACCTGTTCCCCTTGCCCTGCTGCTGCAGCCCCTGATGCAGAGTCCCTCTCTAGCATCTTTGTAGCCCCTTTCAGGCACTGGGAGGCCGCTGTATGTTGGAAGATCTTTAAGGATGTCTGCATCCTATGGGCAGAAGCAGTGCTGGAGAATCAGTGGTGGCATTTCTCCTCCCAGCAGGTAAGTGACCAAGTACCGGTGCTGGCGTGAGGCACGGTGCCGCAGGAGAGGTGGCTGTGTTACCCTGCAGTAACGGTTGGTTCGGTGCCATGAGCTGCTTGTGTCCATTTCCCCTCTCTCAGAAGGGGCACCGCAGTTTGTGTGGGGACAGAGGAGCACCAGGAGGCTGCTGCACTACAGAGGGCACGGTGGGGCTGCAGAACATGGGCTGTGCTCCCTCTGAGATGTGGCTTTGGTTACACGCATGCTTGGAAGAGGAGGTCTGAGCACGGAGATGTGATCTGGGTAGAACACCCCACCCGTTTGCCCCGCAGTTCTGCACGGATCTGATGAAGCTGGGCCAGGGCTTTGGGTTGCACAACAGCGACTGCAGGGGGAAAGGCCACGAGTCACCCTGGGGGGTTTCTGCCTCAAGTCCAGACCTCAGAGGGAATTAACACCAGGAATCCAAAGTGCTGAAGGCAGTTTTCTTCCCTCTGGGTCCTGCTAGAGCCGAGCTGGGATTGCTCCCTGAAACACCCACACCTATCCCAGTATCCCAGTATCCCAGTATGCTAGAGATTGGAAGGGACCTCAGAAGCTCATCCAGTCCAATCCCCCTGCAGAGCAGGAACACCCAGATAAGGTTACACAGGAACGTGTCCAGGCGGGTTTTGAATGTCTCCAGAGAAGGAGACTCCACAACCTCCCTGGGCAGCCTGGTCCAGTGTTCTGTCACCTCACTGAGAAGAAGTTTAAGTGGAACCTCTTGTGTTCCAGTTTGTACCCATTGCCCCTTGTCCTATCATTGTTTGCCACTGAGAAGAGCCTGGCTCCATCCTCGGGACACTCCCCCTTTATATATTTATATACACTAATAAGGTCACCCCTCAATCTCCTCTTCTCCAAACTATAGAGACCCAGCTCCCTCAGTCTCTCCTCATAAGGGAGATGCTCCACTCCCTTCATCATCTCAGTTGCCCTGCGCTGGACTCTCTCCAGCAGGTCCCTGTCCTTCTTGAACTGAGGGGCCCAGAACTGGACACAATATTCCAGACCTATAAAGGAGCCTTGTGAGGAGCGCTTTACTCTGGCTCTGTTTCAGCCCTTGCTTTGGCCACACTGTTTGTACAGCTCCAAGGCTGCCGGGGGCTGATGGTCGGACTGGAGATGGTGCAGAGAGAGCTAAGGAGGGCAGGAAAGGTGAGCACCGGGTTGAGGGGCCAGTGCTGACCCCAGAGTGCTCGCAGGCAGCAGGAGAGGGGCTGGGGGCTGGAGGACAAAGGGAATGGGGCTTTGTGAGAGGCAGTGCTGGGGCAGGCTGGAGGGAAGGGGCTGCAGTGGTGGTGGTGGTGCTCTGTGCTAGATGGGCTGCAGCTTGTGCCAGTGCTGGGGCAGGCTGGAGGGAAGGGGCTGCAGTGCTGGTGCTCTGTGTTAGATGGGCTGCAGCTTGTGCCAGTGCTGGGGCAGGCTGGAGGGAAGGGGCTGCAGTGCTGGTGCTCTGTGTTAGATGGGCTGCAGCTTGTGCCAGTGCTGGGGCAGGCTGGAGGGAAGGGGCTGCAGTGGTGGTGCTCTGTGTTAGATGGGCTGCAGCTTGTGCCAGTGCTGGGGCAGGCTGGAGGGAAGGGGCTGCAGTGGTGGTGCTCTGTGTTAGATGGGCTGCAGCTTGTGCCAGTGCTGTAGGTGGGAGCAGCCTTGTGGGGAGACCGAATGTGCCAGGCCTGGCTTAGAGCACTCCTGTTCTGTGCTGCGTGGAGGAAGAGAGCATCCCTGCAGTCACTGCAACTGCTGCTAGGCCTGACCCTGGCCCTGTGAAATGGGATCTTTGGGTGATGGTGTCAGGGCAGAGAGGAGTGAAAACATCCCTGGGTCAGGCCCTGCTGCTCTGCCTGGGCTTTACCCGTGTGAAATCATCACCAGAGGAGCTTTGACTCCTACTGAGGGCACTTCTGACCTGTGCTCCAGAGCAGGGGCAGCTGCTCTGTTACAGTGAGGCAACGTCACCCATGATGGAGTGGGATCGGAGGCAGCATCTGCACTGTGAGTAATGGGCTGTGCTGGATCTGGTTATTACACACAGTATGGAATGGGATGAACTAGTGCAGAGAGTGTGTGAGAGGGATGCTGTGTCTGAAACCCCTCACTGGGTACTTAATAGCTGAATTTGAGAACTTGGGCACCCAACATCCCTAGTGACCCATGGGTGCGCTGGGCACCATCTGGGACTCGTGCCCCTCCCCAGTAAGTGCAGCTACCCAAAGGTGAGCAGATGGTTAAGAAACGCCATGGTTTATTGCTTTAGAAAATAAATAAGTCAGAAATGTACAATCCCTAATTCCAGTGTCATGGTAACAGCATCCTGTCCCTCAGACCTACTTGAGCTGGGTTTGCTTCCTCTGGCAGCACTTTGTGCATTGGCAGTGCAGGCTCCAGGTGTAACTGTTCTTGCTGTAGGTTTGCCCTGACTCAGCTCACTTTTCCAGCAGCCAGAAACCTGAAGGACAAGCTGAGGAGTGAGGGGGGCTTCAGGTGAAGACACCTACAGCTCTGGGGAGAGGAGCAGGGCTCCTCTGGTGCTGTACTGACAAGAGGATGGAAGATGCTCCTGGTTTGGACCCTGCTCTCCCCCATTTCTCTCCTATGGCTGGATTACACTCTCTTTCCTGAAGGACTTCAGGGGCTCCCCAGGGAGGAAGGGACAGCAGTACTTTGTGAAGCTGGTCTTTAACTCCTCCAGGAGCCCTGACCCGGAGGGTGAGTGAGGGAAGTGTCTCTCAGAGTGCACTTTCCTCAATCTCAACCTCTGCTTCAGCTCGGGGGGGCCCAGCTGAGGCTGGTGGCAGCCTCGACGCCTCTCCCACTGGAGCCTGTTCTTCCCATTGGTGTGTAGGGCCTTGCTCTCCCTCAGGAAGGCTCTGCACTGGTTCCTTCGGCATCTCTGGCTCCCCAGGAAAACCGGCTTTTGTGTAGCTCCTCACCATCTCCTGCACCTCCATATTCAGGCTCTTCAGCTTCTCCTCATACTCAACCTGTGCCTCCTGCTGGAGCTGCAAACAGAGACCTCCGTTACCTCCAGACACTGAAGCTGAGCAGATGTGAGGCTGAGAATGGTGTAAAACCTGCTCTGAGGGAGACCAAGGGGCTGCTGAGATGCTGGTGCCGCACAGGTTGGTCTCAGCCTGTTCCCAAGGCTTTGCCTGCAGCCCCAGGCAATCCCTGCCTTCCCCAAAGGAGAGTGGGGAGAATTCCTGCTTTATGCACTGTGATGGGCGCTGCAGCTTGAAGCCTGCTCAATCAGCCTGGGAGGAACGGGAATGTGTCTGTGCTGTGGGAGTCTGAGGAGCTCAGGGATGAGACTCATCTCCTCCAGAGACTCGTTTCCATCACACTTTAAATGCAGGGGTTTGTATGATGAGCTGAAGGCTGGTGCAGGGGTGCTGCACCTCTGACTTCCATCAGTGCAGGCTCCTGCAGAGCCACCTCCTCAGCAGCCTGAGGGGTGAGTGAAGTGTGCATGGGGATGCATGGGGAAGTGTGCAGTGAGAGATGCTCCGGGAGGACTGATCCCTGCATTGTGCTGCATTTACTGAGCTTCCCTTGCCTTTACCTGGCTTTCCTTCTCCTTGATTGTCCTCAGGTTATCCGCCTGCTTCTCCTCCAGTTTCTGCTGGTACCTGGCTGTCTTCTCCGTCACCTTGCACAAGAACAAATAAACCCCCCCCGAATTTAAGCTTCTCTAAGCAAAAGCTTTGCAGCAGCAAGTCCCAGGCTGGCAGAGCACGTGCCACGCTGCCGTTCCCTCCTTCCCAGGCCTGAACAGTGTCTGCTGGCTCCCAAGGACTCTCTAGACCCTCACAGACCCATGGTTTAGTTAAGGGGAGCAGCTGCCTTCAGCTGCTCTTTGGCAGCCTGAGGCACTCAGAGCCAATTTAATGGCATTTAAATGCCTCAGAACTCAGGCCCTGGGAGCCCCACAGATGCTGGACATGAGGCACCCCCACTGCAGAGAACAGAGGGCAGAGAGCCAAGGCCAAACTCACCAGCTTGATGGTCTGCACCACTTCCTGAATGTGAGAGTTGTTGATTTCTTTCTTCAACCTTTAAAGAAAGGAAATGCTCAGACACCAAAACCCATCTGGTATCTTTACACAGAACCTATCAGTCCTCATAAAGCACCATAGACGAGGCCAGGGCTGCCTTGCCCACCCAGCACGGGTGAGTTACACTCTCAGCCTCCTCCCACACTGAGAGGCTGCTGTAATTTAACACAGGTAAAGAACAGCCCTTCAGTTCAAACTGAAGACATAAGCCAAGTGACTGGGTGCAAAATGCTATCTTCCAGTTAACAGCCAGCAGAAGGACCTTGCTGTGAGCTGGAAGCACAGGAGGTGCCGTGCCCTCTTGTGCATGTAGAGGAGGTGAAGCTGTCACAGCTGTGCAGTACTTGACTACACAGGCTCAGCAGCAGGGTATTGTATTGTAACAGCACATAATGTGTCTGGAGCAGGCCAGCTCGTGCCCTGCACAGCCACAGCTCAGTAACAGCTCCCCCAGTACCTCTCCTGAGCTGCCTTGTCACTGGTATTCCTCATCATGGTCTGGATTCGCTCCACTCTCTTTGCCTCCAGCCTCTTCTTAATCTCCTTAATGTTGCTGTGGAGAGAAGGGAGGAGGCTTGGGTACAACCCTGAGACCAAAGCAGCCCCAACGTGTGCTCTCATGAAAGCACAGTGTGAGGGAGTGTGCTGCAGAGAGCAGGACAGGAGGGGCACGTGCCATGGCACTGGGCTCTGTCCCTGCACTGGGCTCTGTCCCTGCACTGGGCTCTGTCCCTGCACTGGGCTCCTCTGGAGCAGCAAGAAACTTGCTGGAAGGGACACAGTGAAGGAGCTCCATGGTTGGCAGAGCTGAGGCAAGCACCTGAAGCCAGCAGAGGTGCAGGAGCTGTGGGCTGGGACTTGCAAAGCAGAAACCACAAACATTTTTCCCTCCTCCACCCTCCCAGTTTCTCCTCCAGCCTCTGCATTTCTCTGCCATGAATGGCTCCCACACCCTGGAGCTCAGTTTTCCTTTTGGACTCCAGAGCTCCCTGCTCCGAGAGGCCAAGAACTCAACTCTGCTGTGTGGCACAAGAGCAGCCACAGGGAGAAGCTCACTGGGTGCCCATATCTGTCTTCTGAGAAGCAGTAATCACTTCCCTGGCCTTCTTCTCCACAGCATTCATGGGTTTACACACTCATGGCACATCCCCTCTAGCATCTGCTCCCCACTGCACTGCTTTCATGCAGGAATGCCTCCTCACTGCTATCTGCCACCCCCTTCTTGCTCTTTGAAGGCTCAAGATCTTCCCTGGTGACAGAGTTCACCCCAGCTCCCAGTGACCCATGGCTGGCTTCTTCCATTCACATTATTCCCTCCATTGTTTATGCAGTCTCATTTTTATTGCCCGTTGCTCAAGAGCTTTAAATCCTGCTGCAGCTGTGACTGGGCCAAAGGCCATTGTATGGTGAGCAAACCATTAACCAGCTACTCAACCTGTTTGTCTTTGTCTTGTCTGCATGTGCTGATAGCTGAGCAAGAGGCTGTCTTGGTGGGGGACATGAAAAGGGGAAGTTTTGGCTGAGTTAGCAGCTAAAGACCAAGAGAGGATATAATGGGGAGGAGGAATGAGTGAGGATTTAGCTTCAGGATGAAGTTATTACAAGAACAAATGGATAAACGCCTGCCTAGAGACTGGTGAGATGATTCTGCCACTTCACTGAAGTACTGAAGCCAAGATGCTCAATTCACTCAGGAGCCTGAGCTCATCAGTGCCTGAAGGGATTATGTGTGATGTGATGTGATGCACTGACTGCAGCAGGCGCAGCACCCAGTGCCCAGCAGCTCTTACTGAATTAGTCAAGGCTCCTTCCTGCAGCTTGAACTCATGTCCTGTTTGTGCCCAGTGGCAGGACCACTGTTCTGGAGACAAGAGCTGGCTTCTTGCCACTGTGCAACTGTGAGGCCCTGTGTCACATCCCTCTGCCTCCACTTCTCACCAAAGCAGAATCAAAGAGCTTTAAGCTCATCCAGTCCAACCGTTCCCCAGCACTACCAAGGCTGGGCATCTTGACTAACCCATGTCAAGAACTGTTTCTCTTGCCCTGTATTCACTCCCTGGCTGTAGTCCAGTGCTTTGAGAGGTAGCAGCAAACACAACCCCAGACCAGAGCCATCCATTAGCAATTTGTTACCCAAATCCTAACTTTACCTTTCTGACGTCTCCTTCAGTGCCTTCAGCTCCGCTGTCTGCTTCTCTCGGGCCAGCTCTATTATCTTGGTCACTTGCTGGGCAAGGGATGAACACAAGATCAAAACCAAACCAACCAAGCTGGGCTGCAGCACATAGAACCATAGAATGGTTTGTGTTGGAAAGGACCTTAAGATCATCCAGTTCCAACCCCCCTGCCATGGGCAGGGACACCTCCCACTAAACCAGGGCACCCAATGCTCATCATCCAGATCTCATCCCACCAGCTCAGCTTCAGGCCTCCCTACACTCAGGTGCAGGGCCAGCGCATCCCTGAGGCGTTGTGCAAACCTGTGCACCACCGTGGGGAGTTGAGATGGGCACATGGGTAAGAGCAGAGCTCTGTGAGCCATGTCACACATTCCAGGTTATCCCCATGGACAGCTTCCCAGCTCTGTGTGCAGGAGGCAGCACTGGATTCACTGTGCTTGGGGGCAGGTGGGGAACAGCAGTTACCTTCTAAACAACAGGGGCTGCAGCAAGAGGATGGGACTTGTGCCTCATGTTTCCTCCTGCTCCTGGCAGGCCAGTGTGGTCAGCCTCAGGGGGAACCCCTGGCTGCTGCTCTGTGGGAACTCAGGCTGTGATTTCCTTCTCAGAGCCCTGCTCACTAAAGCTCAGACTTTGACAGCTTAGAATCATAGAATAGTCAGGGTTGGAAAGGACCTTAAGATCATCCAGTTCCAACCCCCTGCCATGGGCAGGGACACCTCGCTCTAACCCATGGCACCCAAGGCCTCGTCCAACCTGGCCTTGAACACTGCCAGGGATGGAGAGAATGTTTGAGACAAGAATGTTTCATTCCTTCAGCTTCTCCCTGGTGCTGAGCCTCATTTCAGGTAAGTGACTGCTCAAGAGGCAGGTTTTGTCTCCCCTTAGGGGTGGTGCAGGCTGGAGCAGCCAGTCCTGCAGAGAGCTTGCAAGGTGCTTGGCAAGCCAAAGTGTACCAGGGAACTTCGGATTTCACATATGTGATGCAAACTGCTCTGGAAAATCCTGATAGCAAAAGGCCTCCCAGTCCCGGATCATCGCCCTTCCATGGGGACAGATGGTGTACACTCTGTCACCACCACCTTATGGAGTGCACGTTGTCTCCAGGCCTTACCGTGTCTCTTGCTGGTGTTTGCTTAAGGTGGGGAGTCTGAGGGTGTGGGAGGCCCTGATGCACTTGCAGGACTCCTTACACAGACACTTACTTTGACTTCCACTAAGTCAAACACCAAAACCCTTCCCAGATCTCAAGAGGAAGGAGATCCTGCCCTGCTGGTGCTGCTGTGGGGTGGCTCTGTGAGTACAGGCCCTCACAAGGCTTTCGTTTTCTTAGCACCACAGGTACTGAGGGGCTGCTCTGTGTCACCTGCCCTGGCAGAGTGACAGTGGTGAGTGTGGCTGTCCCCAGTGTGTGTCCCCAGTGAACCTGCAGGCCTCCAACATAGACTCCTGTGCCACCAAGCTCTGAGGGCACAGCATCAAGCAGGGAGCTGTGATGTGATGCACCTGGAGCTGGCACCTGGGGTGTATGAAGCCAATAAACACCACGTTAAAGCCAAGCTGAGCTATCAGGAGAGTTTAAGCAGATGGAGCTGGGTGTGCTCCAGGGCAGCCCTCAATTCCTTTTCAATTGCAACCTATAAAAGGGTTTGTGCTGGACTTTTATAGCTTCTAACAAACAAGCAGTGCTACCTCCACCCTCCCTCACCTCACACAGCCCTGACCCTTGCTCTGAAGGGTGTTTCCTGCCCTGAGGCCACATTTCCAAGCTCATGGTTTAGTGAAGAACTTGGTTTTCAGGCAGGGGCTCTCCCAGACTGCATCATCTACTGCCACTGTGGCCCTTACCTCTGTGGCGTGCTGCTCCTTCTTCCTTCGGATGCCCTCGTGGTGTTCCTCCCCCAGGAGCACGAGGTCCATCTCCAGCCTCTCCCTCAGCTCCACAACTTGGCTGTCAGCACTCTCTGCCGTGTCTATAGGATGTGCACAGGTACCAACATCACCTCTTGTCAAGCTCCTGCAGAACAGATACAGCGGCTGTGCTGCTTCCAGAGCTGCGGGTACAATCCTGAGCTTCCTGCCAACCCCACAGGGGGAACGCTGGGAGCACTCCATAAACCCAGGGAGATGGGGATGCCTGCACCACCCCATGCTTCCCCCCGCGAAGGGGAGCCCCTGTTCCTCTTGGCCAGGCCCTTACCTCTTCTTCAGGGTTTTCCTGTTGTTCACCACCCTTTTCTTGCCTCCGTAGCAGACAGACTCCGAGAAGAGCACAGAGTATTTCTGCAGCAGCTCCTCCCTCCTTTTACTCCCTTTCCTCTCCAGCTCCCTCAGCTCCTTCTCCTGCTTCTTCAGCAGCTTGAGGAAGAGCTTCATCTGCTGCAGCTCTGTGAGGCTGGCTGTCTCTGGCTCTAAAACACAAAGGCAAGAGCCTGTTTTCTCTCCCGTACCTGTTGTGATGATGCCCGCAGCCTTTCCCACACTTCCAAGTATCTCAACTGTCAAGGGTGGCAGCTCCAGTGATAAGGGAAGAGCTTTGTTATTTCCCTGATGATTTTTCTGCAGAACTGAGTTAATGACAGGCACTTTCATCCCATTTCATGTCACATTTCTGCAGCTGTGAGGAATAAACGAAAGGGCTTTTGAGGTGAATGAAAGTGAGGGAGACCGTGTTATCTGGCAGCAGCAGAAGAGCTTATCTGGGGCAGAAAGGCCACAGGGAGTTGTCTGCTCAGGGCATTCTTTTTGCTTGGAAGGTGTAGAACTGAACAGCACTTGGGGGTTGTGCCTGCAGCTCAGCACTGGGCTGGCTCAGCTCCTGCTCAGGGGCTGGTGCTGAGGACAGGGAAGGGTACTGCTGGAATGCAAGGAGTCTGCTCCCAAACCAGAGCCCTCTGTGCCTCCATCCCTTGGGATGCCTCTCACCGGAGCTACAGCAACCACTGGGGAATGTTTCTTCAGGAGTAGCTGTTAAGAACAAAACTACTGTACACAACAGTTCCTTGGCAGCATGTCCTGAGTGCAGCAGTCTGCTCTTGGGCCTTCGGTTCAGCTTTGTGGCACACTCGTTACTAGCTGCTTGTATTGTGTCACACTGCACTAACACACAGATCTGGTGTCCTCAACATAAAAAGGACATGGAACTGTTGGAACAAGTCCAGAGGAGGCCACGAGGATGCTCAGGGGCTGGAGCAGCTCCTGTATGGAGATAGGCTGAGAAAGCTGGGGCTGTTCAGCCTGGAGAAGAGAAGCTGCGTGGAGACCTCAGAGCAGCTTCCAGTGTCTGAAGGGGGCTATAGGGATGCTGGGGAGGGACTCTTCATTAGGGACTGTAGTGACAGGACAAGGGGTTATGGGTTCAAACTGAAACAGGGGAAGTTTAGATTGGATCTAAGGAAGAAGCTCTTTACTGTGAGGGTGGTGAGGCACTGGAATGGGTTGCCCAGGGAGGTTGTGAATGCTCCATCCCTGGCAGTGTTCAAGGCCAGGTTGGACAGAGCCTTGGGTACCATGGTTTAGTGTGAGGTGTCCCTGCCCATGGCAGGGGGTTGGAACTGGATGATGTTAAGGTCCTTTCCAACCCTGACTATTCTATGATTCTATGAAAAGCAGGTGAACAACACTTACTACAAAGCGTGCGTGTGTGCTGAGGGCTCCCTGTGGCCGCATCACCTCTGCTTTAGTCAGCCCCTCAGCAAAGGCCCCATCAAACCTGGCCACAGCAGAACTCCCGTGGCAGCTCCAGCCTCCCCCCCTGCTATGAAGCTGCCCTGCTGCAGTCCTGCTGCAGCTGGTGCCCTCAGAGGGCTGAAAGCTCCCCTGCCCTACCCATGCAGGTGACAGTGGCCCAGCTCGCCTAAGCCGTGGGCCACAACTCCAAGCCTCTGCCTCCCTGAGACCTGCTGTGAGCTCCATCCCAGCCTGGTGCTGAGCACACACCATGGCACTTGTCCAACAGGGAAATGGTGCCACAGACAAGGCAACAGCTCCCTGAGCCCAGAGGTTCCTGTGCTGTGTGTGTAGTGCTGCCTGCTACAGGCAGGGGTGGCTCAGGTCTGATCTACTTGCAAACAGGCTTCATCTCTATCCTATCCCAGTGAGAAACTGGGCACAGGGGGAACATAAGATGCCCGACAGGGTCTCAGCCCACATGAACAGCACAAGCAGTTACCTGCCATCTGCAGCACCTCCACCACATTCTCATCCTTGGCAAATGCTGCTGCTCCTGGAATCACAAAAGAGGTTCCTGTTTATCTGGGATTTTCAGGTTGAAAACAGGCAGGGTAGGAGCTCACCAAGAACATGGGCCACATGTAGGATGTTGGTGTGAATACAAAGGCATTAATTAAGCTGCTGAGATGATTAAGTGCTTGGGAACACTTGTGCTTGTGTTAACAGGCACAGCAGAAAGGGAACAGGCTTCTCTGCCTTGCCAGAGGAAAAGGGCATTTGCTGTGTGTTAGGCTGAACATTGCTGGTGAGGATTTGGCACATGTAATGCTATTTTGATCAGGTGAGAAGGTCTGAAATAGGAGAATGATTTGATACCAGCATATCTGAAAGGACACTAATCCTTTGATACATATGGAAGAAATACTGATGACTCGTCAAGTACTGTAACACATAAGTGAAGAGAATGAGCCCATCTAAGGGTACAGTAGGGAGTATAGTAGGGAGTAGAGCTTCCCTTCTACTTTCAGCTCATCCCACACCCACAGCTTTACCTGCAGGCCCGTTGGAATGAGGCAGGCTGAATTTCCCACTGGAGTCTGGCATCCCATTCATTTCAGCAGACGCGTTCCTCTGTGCGCCCAGCCTCTAAAACAAAGAGCAGAAGTAAATCAAAGCTCAGTTATTCCAGGCTGAACCCATGGAACGTGGTAAAACTCACCTCCACTGAGCCATCTTGCAACTTCACTGATCTCTTGTCTTGCAGATTGAAGAACTTGATGGGGTTGGAGAGAGCAATAGTCAGATCTAGAAACAAGGAGGAAATCTCTGCTTGGATTATCACACAACTCACTGTAATCTGACTGCCTTCTGGCTCCCTTCTGGCCAAGGACAGAAAGTGGTGGAGAAGGGAAGTTTTGTATTCTCTATTTGGAACAAGGGATGGGAGTGTTTTCAGTCCCATTCTGAGGTGACAGCTCACGACTGATGCTCAGGGCAGCTGCAGGAAGGTGAAAAGAGCACACTGCTCCCAGACTCCAAAGCCAGGTCAAGATTTTCCTAACCTGCACAGTCCAGTCTGTATAAACCTGGTCTGTTTTAGGAGCATGTGTTTAAACCATCAATTTAATGGGGTTTTCCCCATAAATAAGGTTCATTTGTATGAACACAGAGAGACTAACACGGCCAGTACTCACAAGAACTTCTATTACATTCTGCATGGTTTTGTGCATAACTGTGTAAGGCTTTGCTGTTCACCTCCAGTGGGGCTTTTGTGATTCACCTCTCACTGTGTGACTATCCCCATTTTAAAGGAAGATCCCTGAATCTCAGTGTGAGGAAGCACCTCCTGCTCTTCAAACAGGGAGAAGAACGCTCCTATGCTCCCTAAACCCCTACTGTTGTCAGTCCCTGATAGCTGTCAACTCTTTACTCACAGGGACCTCTCTCTGCCTCTGAATAGAAGCAATAAAAGACTGACCCAGAGTCCCTTATGCGAGCACTGCACATCAGGCACGTGTGCCTCAATCCATATTGGACCCACGTGCTTCTGGTGAAAGCAAGGGTGTGACAGGATGCTGACAGCAACTCAAGGCCCATCCTGACAAGGAATTAAGGGTGCAGCAGGAAAGCACCCCCCAGGCTGGAAAAGTGCTTCTGGATCCCAGTTTGGCCAAAGCCAGAGCACCCCCCATGTGCACTCTACCTGCCCAAGCATCAGGAACGTAGTCCTTGATCTCCAGGTACACAAACAGGGAGGGCATGGTAAGGGGCATGTTGCTCTCGCTGCGGAGACAGATGTGGTGATAGCCTGAGAACAGAGAGCAGAAGAGGTGAGCTTGGATGCTCCAGCACAAAACCAGGAGGGCATGGTGAACACATCATGGAATTAAGCCAAGGCTGTAACAGGATGAATGTGAAGGCTCTACTGCCTACGGGAATGGTGATTAAGTAGGAAAACATACAGATCATAGAGCCACAGCCTGGTTTGGGTTGGAAGGGGCCTTGAAGCTCCTCCAGTCCCAACCCCTGCCATGGGCAGGGACCCCTTCCACTGGAGCAGCTTGCTCCAAGCCCCTGTGTCCAACCTGGCCTTGAGCACTGCCAGGGATGGGGCAGCCACAGCTTCTCTGGGCACCCTGTGCCAGCGCCTCAGCACCCTCACAGGGAAGAGCTTCTTCCTTCTACCTAACCTGAAATGCTTGGTAAGAAAAGACGTTTGTAGCTTCCTTTCAGCTTCCAGGGGACGGGTCTCAGGGTACAAAATCTGAAGGAATCTCCACAAAACTTACCCGAGTGCACTGCAATGATGGGAATGATGCGGTGACCAATGAACTTCCCTCCTTCCTCCCAGGCCACAATTTTGAGAGAAGCCAACTCGGGCATCATGATCTAAGGAAAAAACAGAGGAAGTCACCAGTGTCCTCCCCTCTACCTCGAACAGCATTTTAGCTTCACTAAGTAGGACCTTACTCTCCCCTCCTTCCAGCAAACCAGTGCCATGCATCCAAGGCTAGTTTCTCACAGACACAAGTGAATTCTCAGAATCACAGAATCAGCCAAGTTGGAAAAGCCCTTCAAGCTCATCCAGTCCAACCATTGCCCAGCACTGCCAAGGCCACCCCTAACCCACGGCACCGAGGCCTCATCTCCACGGGGTGTGAGCACTTGCAGGGCCGGTGCCTGCAGCCCTGCCCTGGGCAGCCTGTTCCAATGCCTGAGCACCCTCTGGGGCAGGAATTGTTCCTCAGCTCCATCTAACCCTGCCCTGGTGCAGCTTGAGGCCGGTTCCTCTTGTCCCATCCCTTGTTCCTTGGGAGCAGAGCCCAGCCCCTCCTGGCTCCATCCTCCTGTCAGGCAGTTGGAGGCAGCCATCAGGTCTCCCCTGAGCCTTCTCTTCTGCACACTGAACAGCCCCAAACTCCACAAACCAGGAGCTTCCCAGAGGAGAGGCTGCTCAGGATCACAGCAGGGCAGTTGCCTCAACAAACCCTCCAAACCACAGCTTCCAGGAAGCAATTCCCCAGGGAAGGGAATGAACTCCGAAGGCAATTTGGCAAACATGGAAACTTTGCCATAAGGGCTCCTGTCTCCCTCCTCCCCCATTCTGACATAACAGAAACTAAGGATTCTTCTGCCAGAACTGAAGCCTGGAAAGTGTTTCCTGAAAGGAGGATAATATTTATCTGCCACATCCCAACAGCCTGCAGATATCTGCTGCTATTTCAGTGTGTTTAACAGAGATGAATCCTGTAACGTGTGTTTTGCCTTTGTGACCTAATACAGAAAGGCCAAACACTCTCATGACCTTTATCTTAACTGCAGCTGGATCAGTGACCATGGACTTCTTGTGGACCAACAGAGCAGTTTTCCATATCCTGGCACCACTGTGAACCTCCCACTGGTGCCATCACTTCTCTAGTTTGTGTTTCCCATTCACAGTTTAACCACAGACATTCAGTTCCTGGTGCTCCATCAGTCAGCTCAGCCTGAAGTGCACTACAAATAGGAGGCTTTTGGTGCCTGTGATTTCCAGGAATGCTCCAGCTACCCCTTGTCTGTTCAGGGGAACAGCGATGGGGAGCTGCTTTGGATGCTGTTGCTTGGATTCTGTTGTCACTGACCTCTCAAGAGGCAGTGCTCGTGGCCAACAGGATCTTTAGGGATGCTCTGTCTGAATTCCAACCAACTGTTGGTACCTTTTCGAAAACAAAAGCCTCCTCTTTCCACACAGGGTTAATGGAGTTGGCCGTGGAGGTCAGCTTGGTTCTGTATTTGCGCTTCGTGTCCTTTGGCAACCCAAAGAGCTCCACTTCCACGTACGTCTTCACACTGCGGTCAGAGAGGAACTGACCAGAGAGTATCTACAAGGAGCAGAAACACAGTGATCAGCTACTGAAGAGAACAGAACAGAAGAGCTCAGCCAGCCCCACCTGCACCCTAGGGTCAGCCTCCCACCCCAAAACACCTCTCCTGCAGCAGCTTCCACCCATGTTCCTGGCTTTGGCACTTCCTCCAGCCTCCTCCCTCCCTCCCCATCAGCACAGCTTTGGCTTCTGCTGGGGAGCAGATGCTAATTTTTCATTTTCATGCCATTATGATTAATCTGAAGCAGTGAAAAGCCTGGGGGTTGCCATGGAAACACTCTCCCACAGGACTCCCCAGGTTCATTTGCCACTAAGAACCCTACTGGGTAAAAAACAGTGGGGACAGAGATGCCAGTTGTGTTGGTGGTGCCAGGAGCTGGCTGGCAGGGCAGGAGCAGCCCCGTGCTCTGTACTTGCCGTGACTGAGAGGGTACTGGCCACCACCACGTCAATGCGGTCCACGGAGAAGGGGTCAAACTGCTTGTCTGGCCGCCGCATGAACTCATGCTTGAGCAGATACCCACACTGGCCATTGAACTCAAACAGAGCCATGTTCTGCTGCATGGGGACATCTGAGACACAGAGGAACACAATGAGAAACATCTCTGCGGGAGCTCCTCAGGTGCTCGTATGCTATGAGCGAGCTGAAGGATGCTGTTACAGCCCCTGCGAGCCAAAGGCTCCCAAACCAATTCCAGAAACTAATTAAAGCCTCTCAGCACCCTACAGGGAAAGATATTGCAGCAGCTGCTGTAAGAAAGGCGAGTGCTTTGCTTATAATTGCACCCCAAGTCTTGGGCAGAGCTAAATTAAAGCCTCCTCTGAAGTACCCACTATTTCTGGTGTGAAGTCAACAGTTGTCTGAGCCCCCCTGCTCCTTCTGGGCCTCCTCTCAGTCCAGCTTCTCCTCTGCCACTGCTCTGTGAACACTGCCTGGTGCTTTCTGTGCCTGTCTCCAATACAATGCCCTCTTCATAGCCAACCTTTCACCCTCTCCCTTTTAAAGTTGCTTTGCTTTTTCTCCTCCTGACCCTACAGCTAGTCTCCTACACTCTCTCTATACTCCTCTGAGGAAGAAAGAGGGGTAAAGGACAGCATTCTCTGGAGGCTTTTTTTCCCTTCTCATGCTGGTTGTGCAGCAAGGGGAAAAGCTCTTCTTCCCTGCTCAGGTCAAAATACTGGAAGCAATAGCATAGAGGCCAGCCCTGCAGCCAGGTGGAGCTCTGCCCCTGCCTGGCAAAAGAGGAAGCAGCTCAGGGAAGTGGCAGCCTGTGATGGATTTGCACACAGTGTTTAGTCTGACACCATGTGATAGGATGGCCAGAGATGGTACCCAGTCACTGAGTGACAGGAAGCCCCTATCTGTGTGTATGCAGAAGTGGGAAGAACCAGGTGTGTGCTGGGCCTAGAAAAGTGCTTTTGGTCTGTGGGAGATGGATTCAAAGATGAGCACCACTCTGGAGAAGGCACATGGAATAAACCCACACATGGAGAGAGCAGGAAAGGAAGAGCCAGCGAACAGGCACAGAGCCTCACCCCTCAGGGGCTGGGGGTCAATGTGACACTCACCCATGGTCTGGAAGTTGAGTGCCACCATCTGACAGCCGACGTTCCAGAACATCTGGGGCAGGTAATTGGAGGAGTCCATCCGGGTGCCTTTGGGGTAAATCCGGCTCATCTGCCGCTTGTTGTATCTACAGATGTGCTATAGGAAACAAGTCCGAGCCCTCTGTGTGCACCCCGGGGCTACCTCATGTATCCAGGCTATGAGAACTAAGTGAGAGGTGTCCCTGCCCATGGCAGGAGGGTTGGAATTGGATGATCTTAAGGTCTTTTCCAATCCTAACTGTTCTATGATTCTATGAAGTTCTGCTACCAAATGGCCAGAGCCTTCTAGACAAGAAGTGAGAGAGGTCCTGGCAACACCAGGCTCCTCTCCCACACCCTTTCCACTTAAGGACAAGCATCTGGCAGCTGTGGTGTACACTACAGCTGGATGCATCCTGTCAAGAACCCCTCTGGACAGCTCCCAAGCCCCCCTGGAAGATCCCGCCTGCACGTTTTGTATCTCTGATGAATGGTTTACAAGGTACTGAACTCACAAACTAGCTGGAGATGCCTCAGCCTTACTCAAGCTTCAGGTTAGTCCTCACACCCTGTACCACCAACTGCTCTGGATAAAGGCTGCCAAAAGGATACTCCACAAACTGCATGGGGAACTTGGTCAGGAGATCATAAGCCTTCAGCTCCGTGAAGGAGGAGATGACATAACTGCGGTTCTTCTCTGGAAACAGACAAAAAGCATTCAGGAGGAAGGCATTCCCAGCCCCTTCCTATGCGTGAGGATCAATGGACCCATGTAGCCCTTGTCCTGCTCTCTCCCACCTTCTCCCAGGTACCAATTTCTATCAGGGCAATTTCCCTTTCCCTGCTCCCTTAAAAAGGGGCTGAAGAATAGGTGATAAAAGGTGATCCATGTTTACCAGGGTGACAATGCTTCTGTAGTGCAGGACAGGATGGGTGCCCAAAGCTTAACTGTGCTCACCTCTGTCTGGATGTCAGTGACATTTAGAGAACAGCTCCTGCCTGGGGTTTTAGTCCCAATAATCCAGATATTCAAAGCTCTTTATTTTGTCAGGTTTCCCTTTCTTCACTCTATTTTCTTCTTTTCCTTTTCTTTCTTCCATCAATCAAATCAGCTCACTCAAAGCTAGACCCAAATGTGGGAAGTGTTCAGAAGAACCCATTCTGTGCACAGAAATTGAGTGCATTTTCAGTGTTTCACACATTTCTGTGTCCAATCCCCATGGAAGAGGAAGGCCAGGCACATATATTAAGGAATGCTGGGCTCAATCCTGCCCCCAGAAGCAGCAAAGCAAGCTCAGAGATGTCACTGGCTTCTATGCTGCTGTTTTTCATTCTCACTTGTATAACTGGGAGCACTATCTGACATCTGTCTTCTCCATACCAGTACCTTACTACAGGGAGGAGGGCAGAAAGGAAGTGTTTGAGACCACGCACACGTTGTGAGAGAGACTGAACACAACAGAAAGTGGGTGAAGGCAAGTCCCAAAGGCAGGTGGAAGAGCAGCTGAAAGCGCTGCTCTCCTGGTGGAATGGAGATACTTGGCATTCTCAAGGGATTCACTCTGACTTACGGGCAGAGACTTCAAAGGAGTCAAATTTGATGGGCTGGATGTAGTTGACCAGGCTGGACATTTCCTCATAGGCTGTCACTTCCAAACCAGCAGTGCCCTGGGGAGAAGACAACATCCACGAGACAGCAGATGAAGGGACCTTGCCTGGAGGTGCAACAAACCCCACCTGGGCTTCACAGACAGCTCCAGTGGCTGCTCTGATCAGGGCACCAGTTGCTTTGGCTTCCTGGTCCTGCAGCTACAGTCAGCAGCATAGCCAGGGGCACAGAGTTTCAGTAGCTTGGCAAAAGCTGACACTGAGGCACACTGAGAGGCATCAGTCAGTATGTGAGAAGCCCAGGCACTCCTTAGCCTCTCAAAGCATCAAGTGTGGGACAAACAGGGACCTTGCTTTCCCTCCTCTCTGAGCGGCCCCAGGGAGATGGAAATGGAGTTTTTATTCAAGGGATGCTGATCACATTCCCCCTTCAGCAACAGCACTTCAGGTTTCGGTAACAACTTTTATCAGACTAAGGCTAAGCCTCTCCAAACACCCCAAAGGCAAATGACTACCTTCATATCATGAAGAATATCAAAGGCAGACTCTAACTCTTCTGCCATACCCCGTGCTTGCAATGTAATTTCTCTTATTCAGTTTCTCCTGCAAAAATCTTCTTGCATGGAGGAAGGATTGATCATAGAACAGTTCCTTCTCCTTTACATTTTGGGTTCATCTCTATTCAGTTCCTATAAAGACAAGCTGAGAAAGCTGGGCTGGTTCAACCTGGAGGATGCTCTGGGGAGACGTTAGAGCAGCTCCAGTGCCTAAAGGGGCTGCAGGAAACCTGGAGAGGGGCTTGGGACAAGGGCCTGTAGGGACAGGCCAAGGGGAATGGCTTGAACCTGCCCGAGGGGAGACTGAGCTGAGCTCTTAGGCAGAAGCTCTTCCCTGTGAGGGTGCTGAGGCGCTGGCACAGGGTGCCCAGAGAAGCTGTGGCTGCCCCATCCCTGGCAGTGCTCAAGGCCAGGTTGGACACAGGGGCTTGGAGCAAGCTGCTCCAGTGGAAGGGGTTGGGGTTGGAGCTGGAGGAGCTTTCAGGTCCCTTCCAAGACAAACCAGGCTGGGATTCTATGGATATGGTGAGGCTCTAGAGAAAACCTGAGGCCAGAAAAAGACCCAGCCAAACCCCAGAAAGGGACAGAACCAGCAGTGAAAGTACCTCGTCCGACTGCATCTTTTTAATTTCCTCTTCATCCAGGTTTCCAAGATGTTCATCCTCTTCCTCTGGTTCCTCTTCAGGCACATCACCTGCCCAGACTAAGCACACACAGCCCACATCAGTAGCACCCACGGGTAGCGCATTGAGACAAGGCATTGCAGATTGCTGGCCATGGAGAGCTCTGCAAACCCTCACTATCATCAGGAGCAATAAGTGGGGGACTCATGGACTTCATGTGCTCCTACCATGACAGGTACTGAAAATTCACTGTTCTACCACAGGTGCCCTGAGCCCAAGAGGTGACAGGCTTGAGGAAGGGAGGAGAGTGGGGCTGAAGGTCCTGTAAACCTTCATGGTGAAGAACTAGGCCATGGTGAATTTGTGGTTCTCAGAGAGCTACAAGCAGTAAAAGCTGCTTCCCTTCCATCAAACCAGTGTGTATCAATGAATGACTCATGGAGCCATATGGCTCAGTAGGCAGAAGAGCTGACTGATGGGCAGGGCACAAGTGGGTTGTCTATTTTGGTTGAAGTGTTTGAAAATATTCTGAGGATTTAATTTCTCTTCCAAGCTTGTGCTGCTTCTTGTGATGAGTGAATTAATGACTAGCACTGGCTTGCCTCAAGCTAGTGCTGGTGGTTTGGAAGGTCTCCAGTGGGCCAGACTTGCTCATCTAGCTATACTAGTCCCCTTCAGACATACCAGTATCTTCAGCATCCGTAGGGGTTGGCAGCTCAATGATTTCTGGTTCCACATTCCTCCCTTTCTTCAAAGAGTTCTGCCTCTTCCCACATACAGATTGGTTCTTTTTGTTCTTAATCAGGATCTTCCCTAAGAGATCCTTAGGACTTGGCAGAGGAACTCCTGGCTTCAGCTGCAACAGATCACCTTTCATCACAAAGAGTTCAAGCACCCATCTCTCCTGTCCCTCCCAGTACCATTCCTGTGGCCATTTACTGGTGCATGGACCCATCTCTCACCCACTGTACACTTTATTTTCTCCATCCATCCCACTATATGCAGATTTAAGACTTCACCTTTCATTCCAGGGCAGCATTTTGCACCTTACACATTTGCTACCTGCACACACCAGCCTGTTCCCAGCCACCTATCCTGCACCTCAGCTAAAACCCCATCCACATGGCCTGAAGCATCCACACACCTCTGGCTTTCACATGCCACCTATTTCTCTCATTCTCCCAGAGCCTCAGGCCTGGATCAGCACTCAGGCCATATTCAAACCCTCTGCCTGCAGCAGATCTGGAAATGATCCCAGAGGAGGTGGCTCAAGACAAGGACGTGTGACTCAGACTCTGCTTCCAGACCCACACTCCCTCTACAGACAGCAACAAGACTCAGCCAATACCCTGAACTGCTTCTCCCCACACACAGCCCCTGTTTCTCCCTGTTGCCTGGACAAGGACCTGGGTGTGGGCAGTGGCAATTGCTGCTTTGCTCACTGCTTCTTTTCAGCTCTTCTTTTGATCTCAGTGCTTTAAAACACAGGCACTGCCTGGTATTTGTAAATCCATGTGCATTCACAAGGCAGCTGGAGCAGCAATGGGCATGGAGACCACCAGGGTTGTCACTGTCCTGTTGTACCAGTAAGCTGACAACCAGGGTCAAGCAGATGAGGACATTTACTCAGCTATTCTGAGCACAAAGCTCTGTGTGTGCCTGAAAGGGAATATTTCCAGGGTGGAAGTAGGAAGTGAGAAGCATTGGTAGGAAGAGCCTGAAATGCTGCTAAGCCCTTGTTCCTGTTTCTTTCCAAAGCAAATGCTGGCAGAGATCTGAACCAGTACCATGTACAGAAATACACTTGGCTACCCAGAGCCCAGTTTCCCAAGTCACTGAAGTCACAGAGTGTTAAATGAGAGCAGAGCCAGCAAGTGCTTAGGAAAACCTCTGTGACTGAGAGATCTTCCATTCACTTACTGTTTGCTTACCCCTATGAACCAAGCTTATTTGTCCATGGCATCATCTTCTCTTTCACTGTCCCTGTATGCACTCTCCTACCCCCAGGAGTGACTGATTCCTTCAGAAAGACCTCTCCACTAAACCTCCCTCCCCAGCTTCACTTACTGGGTATTTCTCCAGTGGCTCTGTCAGCAGCATATCTCCAAATATAGTTCTGCAGTACTCAGCCATCTTCGCCTGCTGCTTGGGCCTGATGGAACAAAGAGACCAAAGCAGGAGTGAACAGGAAAGCAGATGCCCAAATCCAGACCTTAACATGAACAACCATCCCAAGACCCAAGTATGGTACATAGGAAATCATCTCTTGCCCTCGCTCACTATGCAGACCTTAAGGTCCCTTCCAGGCTGTCATAGAATCATAGAATCATAGAATAGTTAGGGTTGGAAAGGACCTTAAGATCATCCAGTTCCAACCCCCTGCCGTGGGCAGGGACACCTCGCTCTAAACCATCTCTGTCCAACCTGGCCTTGAACACTGCCAGGGATGGAGCATTCACAACCTCCCTGGGCACCCATTCCAGTGCCTCACCACCCTCACAGGAAAGAATTTCCTCCTTAGATCCAATCTAAACTTCCCCTGTTTCAGTTTGAACCCATTACCCCTTGTCCTATCACTGCAGTCCCTAATGAAGAGTCCCTCCCCAGCATCCCTATAGGCCCCCTTCAGACACTGGAAGCTGCTCTGAGGTCTCCACGCAGCCTTCTCTTCTCCAGGCTGAACAGCCCCAACTTTCTCCTTTCTTTTCTGTCCATACTCTGCCATCCCAAGCCAGAAGGCTGCACAACTGTGGTCCCTCTCACTCTGCAGCTTCTGGCTCATCTTTCAGCTCTGCCCCACCTTCAGTTGCTTGAGAAACCTCAAGTGATGTTTCAGATCTCAGGCACTCAAACCCAGCAGCTCTTGCCTGTACACTTTGTGCTCTGGACAACAAGAACACAGCTCTCCCAGTCACCGGATACTCACGAGTCCACGTGGTTCTCAAAGGACAGGATGACAGGGTAGAGAGATGTTTTAAAAGCACTTTCTGCAATGGCCTCAATGGCATCCTAAATGAGAGGCAATGGGCAGAGAAAGGATAAGCACTGGTTAGTAACAGAGGAATGCAGCTCAGCTCCCACTGAACAGACTCCAAACTGATCACTGCCAAGGGCTTCTCGTTAAAGCAACTTCTCCCAGTAAGAAGGTGGGAAGTATTTTTTCCTCCCTGCCTGGATTCCAGCTCCAGAGGACACAACATGCACCTAAACTCAACAGACTGCATAGAAAATGAAGCTGAAGATGTAGGAATATGAGTTTTGTAGTTCAGTGTACACGTAAATGAATGTGAAAGCACTTTGCCAGTGACAAGTCACTGCCACATGCACTTTGAATTGGTAGAGAAAGGTGTGTGCAGTCCCTCATCAAACTGCTTCAAACCCTGTTTAAACTTACCACTGAACCTGCCTTTTTCTATCCTATCACCTACAAAATCCTTCTGTCTAGCAGCAGGGAAACCTGGGATGTTCACAACCAGCTGTGCTGACACTCCAAATGCAAACACCATGGAAACCTTCTCAGCATTAGTGGTGTAAATAAAAATAACCATGTTTTCCCTGTTAAACTGCCACAGACTTTCCCCCCATTTTCTTTCCTTGTGACATGGTGAAAAGTGTCATTTGCTCCTTTGCAATGACAGTCCCCCTTGGTCCCCCAGGTCCTGGTTGATCTTAACACTGAGAGTCTTAGCACTGCCACAGCTGCTCCATGGACCACACGGATTCCCTACCACAGAACCCTGCAAGGCTCAGGGGAGGAGAAGCTACAGAAAAAGCTACTAAAAGGCCCGAGGCAATGGTAGGAAAGGGAGAGGTGGAGGGCACGATCCCCATGTTATGTAAAACTAATCCCTGGGCACACGCTGTGTTAACAGGTTCTCATTTCCTGGAGGAACATCACATGCTGCAGCAGAACTCTGCAATTACAGCACCTCCAGCTGCCATTGTGTCTCCTACCTGCAGTGAGCTGCTGTGCAAAGGCAGCAGTGCTGCTGCAGGAGGTGGGGAGCTACTGACAGCGAGTGTGACAATAGCTCGGATCTTAACGTTGGGGTTGGGTTTTTTTCCCATATAAATACATTAGGAATAGCGAAGCGTGGGAAGAGGGGGAAGAAATGGAACAGGAATAAAGAGCTTTAAAAAGAATCTGAATTGCCTCTGCCTGTTGGCAGCTGCTGAGGAAAGGAGTGCAGGGGAAATCAGTGTGATGCATTGCTTTGTAACCTGCTGTAACTTCTGTGGTTAAATGCTCTGGGTTCCCAAAGGACAAGTAGGCTTTGCCCAGTGCTTCTGAAGCCTGGGAGCTGGATCCTGAGGGAAGCCACCTGCCCAGCTGCTCCACTGAGCACATTCCACACACTCCTGTGATGAGGGAGTACCCAAAAGGTGTTCCTGCAAAGCACCACCATGAGGGGCTCTAAGCCACAGAAAGTGCTGCTCACCAGCTAGAAATAAACTCACTTTAACCACTTGTTTTCTAAGCCACCATTTGTTTCCTGCTTGTTTCTCTGATGTGCATCTATCCATAATGCACCTTTCTGTCCATACAGCCATCTCACTGCAGAGCCCTGCGTATGCAGGCATATCTACTCAACCACCTCTCCATCTACTACCTGCCTGCCTGCCTTTTTGCATTCATTCATCTTCATGCAGCCAGCAGCCTCTCTTCTGGTCCTCCTACGTCAAAAAACTTACACACACTCAACCTATTGCATGTTTGTTCATCTTTCACTCTGTGTGTTCATTCACTTGTCAGACTGCCATCAGTCTTTTCCTCCCAAACATCTCTGCCCTCAGCCAACCCATCTGACAGTTCCCTCAGCACCCTCCTCAGACAGAGATCAGTCTAAAGCCGAGCAGGGGAAGCATCGATGGAGCAAACTCTTTCCGTACCTTGAAGAGGATCTCGGTTGTCATGGTGAAGCCGTGGGTGATGATGGGCTCCTCCTCCGGGGGGCGGCCCTTCCAGCAGTCCAGCTCCACGCAGCGGCAGCCGCTCAGCAGCGTCTGCCGGTACATCTCGGGAGAGGAGATGCCGGAGAACTGACCAGCTGGAGGAGGGAGGCTCAGCATCAGCTACACTCACCTGCGGCAGCTTAGCACCAAGAGGAGCAGCAGAAACCTCTGCTGCCCTTCAGCACGTGCATGGGGCAGGCTGACACAGGGCTTCTCACACAGCACTGAAGGGCCAAGCCCCTCGGGGTGTATTACAGCCCTCAGACCAATGAACTTCAGGGCATACATCTGCCCACCTGACTGTCAGCATCACCCCTCCACCCCAGTGTGGTACCTGCACATGGGAGCTGAGGCAGCCTCTGGAACTGCCCGTACCTGTTAAATACGTGTTGTGGGACGAGTTGATGAAGTAGTGTGAGAGCGGTTGAGTCATGTCCTGGTACAGCAACAGTTTGTCCAGTGCTATCACATTGTTCTCAGGGCCACAGAGGAACCAGACCATCCCCTCTGGAGACAGCTGCCCTACATGGGAAGCAGGGCTGTTAACAGCACGGAAACAAAGTGGTTCTGACACCTCCTCACCAGCGCATTGCAACACTGGGATTGTGAGAATCAGGCTGATTGCTCCCCATGGGAAGCCAGGTAGCAGAAGGTGTGAGGCCCTCTGCTGTTTTCACACTCCCTCTAGAGCAAGACTCACCTCTCTGGATGTTGATCCCACTGGGCTCATACTTCTCTATGAGGCTCTGCACCTGCTCAGGTTTGGCTGGAGGGAAGAGGATGTCATTGAGGCGAGAGTCTCGCTGCTTCTTGTTGATGAACTTTGCCAAGTGCTCTTTGGTCATGTAGGGCTTTGCTTTTAAATGGCTGCAGTGAGAGAATGACAGAGGAGCAGCGGTAAGGCCTGTGTATTACCCACAAAACCCACTCACTAAAGAGAGACTGGTCCTTCCCCAGGCCAGCAATGGGTGTCCACAGCCCTGGACCCACAGGTTTCTCTGTTGTCTACATTCCTTCCTGTAAATGATCTTCCCACTGCTGTGGCCTTTCTTTTTCTTCACCAGTTCAATGCTGTGAAGAGTTCATACCGAGGGGAGCACAAAGAGTATTCTGAGCCACTGACTCAAACTCTAAAAGGACTTGAACTTCATTTTGTGACCTGGTTTCCTGCCCTCCTAAGGCCTGAAGCCAGACAAACCACAGAGCATTAAACCCCCTTGTCCCTCCTCTTGTCTATCTTTTGCCACAAGAGATCAGGTTCTCTGCTATGGCTTGAGGGAAACTTACTGTGAGGTAAATATCTCATCAATCTCAGGCCGTGGACACAGATTCATCAGGAAAGTTTTATAGACGGTCTCAGGGAAGTCCTCTGGGTTGATGGCATCATTCTGACAAATGCAATAAAGACAAGTGAGTACCACAACCCATCATCTCACTTCTCCATTTACACCCACAGCCCAGCACCTGCTTGTGACAATGCAAGTAAGAGACCAGACCATCTGGCAGGTGTTTAGGGAAGAACAGACGGAGTGGAGAAGCAGCACGATGCCCTATTGCGAAACAGTCATTTAGAATCACTGAATCAACTAGGTTGGAAAAGACCTTTAAGATCATCAAGTCCAACCATTTAAACTGTCCCTCGGTGCCTCTTGTGCTGATGCCTGATGCAGTGGTAGGAGCTGTCAGAGGCTGGACTGTTCTCTGTGGGTGGTAGAAGTGCCCAGATTAACCATCAGGTTTGTTGCTTCAAAAAGCAGACAGTGACAAGCTGAAGGGAACATGCTGCTTCTTGTGCCCCACAGTGCAAGGGATGGAGTCACAAGTGTTACAAGTACAAGCAGCAAGAACTGATCCTAGCAGGCCTGCAGCTGAGGCATGGCAGCTAGGGGTAAGGAAAAGGTTTCACAGCTGTTAGATGAGCAAGAACAGGACAGTCAGGGCAGGCAACAAGACTACTGTCAAACGAGTGAGGTCTGTGGCTACCAAGCAAACCCCTTACCTTGCCCTTTGGAAGGTGACAGGCACTTAATGCTGCTTCCACCCTCTTCCTGTCTGCAGGGAACATCTGAAAAATACTGAGCACACAGGGCAAAGGCAATCACCAGAGGGCGGCAGGAGTCAGGGAACTCTGGGTTCCGGTGCTGGGAGCTGCAGCCAGAGCCCAAGACACTCCAAATGCACAGCGAAGGAGGCTCCAGGAGGCTGCAAACACGAACCAGATAAAGCACGGATCCCATGCGGTAGCTGGCATTAGCAGGGAATAACTCTGTAGCCAAGACAACATTCAAAACAAGCAAACAGATATGGTGCATATTTGCTGCTTTGAAAGAAGGCAGCATTTTCTGGAACCAAAGGATTTCCATAAATTCAAGGCACAAAGTCATTACACAGGCAAAGAACCTGATGTGCTGCCTGATGGAAGCACTGAAGTTTGCTGTGCAGAAACCAAAGCTCACCTCCTGTTTAGGAAGCTGGGTAGTGATCTGCAGGGCAGAAAGCACTCGGTCAAGGCTTCAGCCTGAAGCAGCCCCTTTGCTGCACTATGGAATAGAACAACTGCACTTGCCCTGCTTTCAGAATACCCCAGTCAGCAGCTTTGAGGTCTCCTCATGGATAAATGTGGATGTCAGCTCTGCCAGCTCCTGGCATCCCAGCTGCTCACAGCCAGAAAGGGGAACAAAGAGCGCCCAGTGTGCCAGGTGGGAAAGTGTTCTGCTGCAGCGGACTTATGCAAACTCAGGGCACATCAGCTCCCTTTGCAAGGCAAAACTGTAGCACCCTTGTTATGATTCAAAGGGGATTTAAATGTCTAAAGGCAGATGCTCAGGGGAATTTTTAGAGGGATTCAGACATGAGCTTTGAAAGCCTGACATACACCTGCACCTGGAGAAAGGGAACAGGTTTATACATCTGGCTCTTAACTTGCACTATTTAATGGTCTAGTGCTTTACACAGTGGAGCATTTTACCACTCTGCAGGACAGACAGAGCAGAGCATTGCAGAGAGGTACAGCCTGTACCAGAGATTTTTTCCTAGCCTATTTCAGAAGAATAAGCTGGTTTGCCTCTGCAGCAATGCCACCTTGCTTGCATTTAAAGAGCAATTCAAAGCACTCTTCCCTAGTGTGAGTTATTAAAGCCCTATCCATTTTTAAAAGCCCTTTGATGAATACTCTGGTTTCTGCTGGTTGGTGGTTTCCAAAGCAAACAACAAAAAACGTGTTGTTGAGTAAGGCTCAACGAGCCAGGAGCCCATTGAGCCAGCACAGGCTTCATCTAGACCCATTATGCAGTATAACACACAGTAGGGAGTGTGTTTATTACAGGTGATTAGTGCTTGCCTCTTGTGATGCTGTAACACAGCAGAAACTAGAAGCAGAGTGGTTCAAAGCTTCCCAGTGAATACCCACTATCTGCAGGTCCTTCTTACAACAAGAGGTGATGTATGTGCCCAAAGCGAAGGCAGCCCTGGGTCACCCTCTGAGCTGAATCAACGTGGAGGAGACACAGCATCAGCCACGGGGTGTTTTACTGGGTGTCCTGGGTTCAGCAGTAGCAGTGGTTCTGGGTTGCCAGCTGGGTTTAAACCACGACACTGGGAAAGACTTTGAGTGGCATGAAAGCAAGTCCAGATTCATGCCATGCAGCACAGGGGAGAAGTACCAGGCTGGTCTCAGCTTCAGCAAAGCAGCCCTGGCTTACTGATGCACAAGGCCAACCCTGGGGACAGGGAAGGGCGAATCCCCACTGTTCTGTACATGAACCAGCACTAACCCTGGCCCAGAGCTCTGCTCTCAAAGGCTGGTTCCCTCTCATACACATCCAGAGGGAGCCAAGCGGGAGCAAGGAACCCCTATGTCAGGTTAGCTGAGGAGTCAGGCAAAAAGCTCTCCACGTTTTCTTTATGTGAAAGGTAAAATGAGTGCTACATCTGCTGCACCTTTCAATGTAGGTTGCAAATCAAGCTGTGATCAGAATTGCACCAAGGTTGGTTGGTTTTGTTGATTATTTCTTGGCAACAGCCAGCAAGTTAAAGCCGTGGCTGTTTATGGCCATAAAAGGTCTCCTTTCAAGACCCAAATTATGTCCCAGGCCCTTCCCTGGTGCAGCAGAGTCCTTTCATGGCCTGAATCCAGAATGATCTCTACCTCTTAGGTGCAGAAAGAGCAGGCAGCTGAAGCCACTGGGCAAGCATCCTCTCACCAGCTGCTCTGCCTTTAGTCTGACTGAACACACAATGAAACAATTATATGTACTCACTTCCTGACAGGAATCTTCCCCTCTGCATTAAGCTGCATCTTCAGCTTCACCAGGCTGGGAAAAATAGAAAGAGAACATGAAAATGCACTTGTATAACCCCAGACCTCCTATTAAGTAGAGAAAGAAAAAACATGCCATTTGGAAAACAAGCTTAACAGTTAACAGAATCAGGGTCCTACAGACCATCAGTCAACCTCAGACAGAACCTGTTCCTGTTTCTTGTAAAGGAGAAACAGGCAAACTGTAACAGCTTAGATAACAGGAAGATTCCTCTGAAACAGGATACAGATATGAGATAATGGTATCTCCTATTATTTAGCATTCCTCGATGATTCCAGGCTGCCAACCAAACAGTATTAGAGAGCACAGAGAGGCAGCACTCTGCTGGGGTGAGCTCTGGGACTGTGGAGGGAAACACGTCCCAGGCACAGCAGCTCAGTTTGTCCCATCCCACGTGTGTGTTTGGCTCCAGCAGTCCTGTGCCAGCCAGATGTCCTGCAGCACATGAGCCAAGTACCAAACCCCCTGGGCTGACACACGACTTGCTCTGGAGGCTGCCAGAGGACCTGGGTGCTAAAAGCCTTTTCTTTCTCGTACAGACAGAAGGGGCAGTACATGAATGTGTCAGAGGACAGCATCTGTCAGAAATCACTCACATTTTCTCTAGGAAGGTGTACCGAGAGGCGTTGTATGTGAGAGGGTTCCGAACGATGGCCAGAATATCCTCAGCCCAGCTCTGGGAACGAACACACACACAGGGCAGAGGCAGTTGGGCATTATGGAACTGCACCAAGAAGTACACAGCAACAAACATGGGAAGGGCAAAGAACCACAGACTGGTTCGGGTTGGAAGGGAGCTTAAAGCTGCTCCAGCTCCAACCCCTGCCATGGGCAGGGACCCCTTCCACTGGAGCAGCTTGCTCCAAGCCCCTGTGTCCAACCTGGCCTTGAGCACTGCCAGGGATGGGGCAGCCACAGCTTCTCTGGGCACCCTGTGCCTCAGCACTCTCATAGTAAAAACTTCCTTATATCCCCTCTAAATCTACCCTTTTCCAGTTTAAAGCCATTCCCCCTTGTCCTGCCACTATAAACCCTGGTAAAAAGGCCTGTTCTGACACTGCGAGGCTCCAGATCCCAATAACTGTGCCCTGGGCTTGGCTCTGTCACGTTTCTACTGCCTATATATATCAGCAGCTAAAACTTTTCCACTGAGTCTTCTCAGCTCTGTGTTTATCCACACAAAGCACATGAAGGACAGAAATGATGGACTAAATTTCTTCTATTGGTCCTTCTCCACGCAGGGCAGAAGCTTCTAGAACTGTGGAGGTAGCACACCTCACTGGAACACAAACCTGCTTGTTTCATACCTTGTCAGCTACACTGACAGGGTTCAGGTTCCCTTTCTTCCCCTCTCCCTTCCTGTTCCCCACTTGATGCCCCAGTCCTCACTGGTCCCAGTGCTTCCCTGTCCTCAGGACCCGTTACCTTTCCAACATTCTCCTTGTAGGACACGAAGTTATGGAAAGTGAGGTCAACCATGTCAGGGCCAGACACGATGGTCAGAGTCTTAAGCAGGAAGGTGCTGTGAGGGTAGTCCAGGTTAAACACCTCCCGGAGCTTCTGGCACTGCAAAAGAAATTAAACAGATGGGGAAGAAGGGAGATTGAGGCAAAACGTACCTGGACACACCAGGACCCAGTCCAAACATTGACCCAAATCCCCAGCAAGCTTCTCAAGGGTTGCACATTGTTTAATGCAATCTTCCTTTGCTTGCCTTTCCTGACTTTTCATCTTTGTTCTGGAGCCTGCATCCCCTGGATCCTCCATGGAACAAGACATTGTGACTAACATCACTGCACAGAAGTGCTGTTTGGGTCTGAAAACGTCCAAGTTGGAACAGACAGGAAATTCCTTCTGAAAGTTCAGCCTAAAGGTGCGGACAAGTCAAGAGGAGCATTAGAGGTGCACACACGAGGTGCACAATCAGGTTCCTGCAAGAGCCCTTTGTCAGAACACAGAAAGAAAGCCTTTCAGACTAGTGTGATAGCTTTTGCTGTAACCTCTCTGCACCACAAGGAAGATGCTGTTTGGGTCTGCAATGCCTACCAGCTCTAGAGCTGGGTCACTGGAGAGATGGGCTCTTGCCCTCCATCCACATTTCCTGCTGGTTGTCAGTTGCTATAAGGGGTTTTTCCACAGCAATCACAGCATCCTCCAGCAGTGGCTCACCAGAGATTTGGTTGAAGTCTAAGGCTCATCCCATTAGTGGTACTTGATTTCATCACCATCAAAGTATTTCTAGAATCCCTTTAGATGATTTAGCATTTTGTGTGTTCCTCCATAAGGCATCGCTAAGCTGAGCTGTCCTGGAGCTGTACTGGCGGTTGCTATTTAGCATGAAAAGATAAAATCCCCTATCCTGGAATGAAGCACAGCAATTCATTATCTAAAGCACAGGCTAAATCCACATCAAAGCAAAGAGGGAGGCTGCCAGAGCACCTGCTCCTTCCCAGACTAAGGGCAGAGCTCAGGATGGGGGACTGCTGGCAGCACAGGTCAGACCCAGAAGCTGAGCTCTCCTGTATGCACAAACCTACAGGTAGACACAGGGGTGAGTCCCTGCCTTTGAACAGCTTTAAAACCTTACTCACACTGTAACACAGCCCCCATTAACTCCACCCAAAGAGGTTTTAGCCCAATGACTTTACCTTTCTGTTTGCTATAGACAGACATTTCTCTACATTTGGACTCCAGACCAAGAGCCCTGGATGCTCCTACATCAGCCCCATGTCACAAACACAGCTGCAGATGTATTTTATCCCAAAGTCCACAGATTTTTCCCACTGCAGTTTTCCAATGGAGCATTTGCAATTTTGACACATCTGTAGCAAAGAGGCCCCTTTAGGAAGAACAGGATGGGCTGGATCCTAACCCAAGATCATTTGACTCCTGTCTCTCCCTTCATGAAAGCCACTCTCCTCATGGGTTAACTGAAACATGTCTGGAGGGAGAGAAGGGGAAAGCAGTCACCTGCCCAGGGGATTTGCCTGTTTTCTAATAGGGAATTTCTGAGATGGTTCATTCCTGCTTTATGAGCAACCTTCCTTTGCAGAAGGGAGCACCATGTACCCACCCCTTTCTGCGCTCACAGCAGCTTCTTGATGGAGCTTGAGTTTTCACTACGAGCAGCAAAGCGTTCGGATTTCAGCTTCAAACTTGACTTCATCTTGCAAAGCCACTGGTGTTTGTTCAGCTTCCTTACCTCCAGTGTTGTACATCAGACCAAGCTGAGACAATAGAGAACTTGTGGTTTATGCTGAACTCATTTCCTGTATTTGTTACAGAAGGCTCCTCCCAGCCCTTCCTTCTCTGCATGCTGGTGTCTCTTGGCTCACCATGTCCCAGTGAGATGGAGATCAGAGCCTCTGCCTTTCTCTAGCTGTGCTCCACCAGGCAAACCTGATACCTGTTACCTGTTGGTAACAGCCTGAGAGCTCATCACCTTCTCAGAAGCTGTTGTTCACCATTAGCCTTGGCTTGTGCTGCTTTTTCCATGCCATGACTTTCATCAGCATTGAATTACAGTGCCTCCTAACACCACAGGGAAGCTGATGGCTCCATGTCAGGAGAAGCAAACTGCAGCAGGGGAAGGATGCTCTTTTAGAGCCCAAGTGTGATGGGGAAGGGCTGAGGGACCTGGGGGGTTCAGATGGAGAAGAGAAGGCTCAGGGGGGACCTGATGGCTGCCTCCAACTGCCTGACAGGAGGATGGAGCCAGGAGGGGCTGGGCTCTGCTCCCAAGGAACAAGGGATGGGACAAGAGGAACCGGCCTCAAGCTGCACCAGGGCAGGGTTAGATGGAGCTGAGGAACAATTCCTGCCCCAGAGGGTGCTCAGGCATTGGAACAGGCTGCCCAGGGCAGGGCTGCAGGCACCGGCCCTGCAAGTGTTCACACATCCTATAGACGAGGCCCCAGTGCCATGGGTCAGTGGTGGCCTTGGCAGTGCTGGGCAATGGTTGGGTTTGATGAGCTGGAAGGGCTTTTCCAGCCTGGCTGATTCTCTGATCTTGTCAGGGATCTAAACTGGGTCATATTTTCCCAGTGACTGATTTCCTGCCTGGCATTAAGCGAGTCACTCGCCTGCTCCATGCTGCCTACTCCACATGGGGATCACGTCCCTTGTGGGACGAACGCAGTGCTGATGGTGTAACACTGAGTGAAGATGCTGAGAGGCAACCAAGGACTGTGGCCAAGAGCACGGAACCTGCTGCCACATCTTGGCTCTTTCACAACCTGCACTCCTTCAGCACCCCGTGCTGCAGCTTCAACCTTTTAATTACTCAGTGTCATGTTGCGGGTGGCCATAAAGGAAAAACAGGAATTGCTGTGTGAAAAGCAGGGTGACCATATTAGCCATGCAAATCTGCAGGGAAAGCATGCTGAGCAAATCCACTTAAACCCCCCAAACAGACAACAAGGCACGGGCAGAGCGGCTGACACACATTTCACTTCCCACCTTCCTCATTTCCCTAAAATCCTCATCTGGCCAAACCAGATCCACAGTCCAGAGAGAAGCAAATTCTCATGCAAAGATAAAGAGCCAGGCCTAATGCAAGAGACAGAGGCAGCCCTTTCACTGCTTGGAATGGGATACAGCCAAACCAGAACTGGGATTTGCCAAGCTCACTGCACGCTGACAGCTTTGTATCTTTATAAAACACGGTACATGATGTGCTGCTTGTGCTAGGAGAAGACAGGATGTGACCAGAAATCTTCTCTTTTGGAGAAGAAAAGGCTTGTTTGGTTGCCAGAAGGGAAAAGGAGCACTGAGGTTATCCAAACGCCTTTGGCTCTGCAGGTAACGCTCGTGTCCTCATTAGCAGCGCTGCTCGGTGGTGGGATTCAGCAGGGAGAGGCAGGAAAACCCCAGGCAGCTGAAGCACTCTCAGCTCTCACTGCTGCCTTATCTAAAGGAACCGGATAAACGCAGCAGCAGAGATTCACAGGCACAGAACAAGCCGCAGGCTCTGGAATCAAGCCGGAACTGACTGAGGGAGAGATGCAGGCTCTGCATCCACAGTTCCTCCTGTCCCTCTGGCCTAGGAGCTCACACTGCTGTGGGAAGATGGAAGAGACAGAAAGAGGGCCCAGCCTGGAAAAAGGCTGTTATTTGTATGTGATGCTCCCTTGCTCCACTGTTTATAGACCCTTTGCAGGCCACAGGCTTCTACCTGCTTTTCTGCTGCACACACACATAACCAGTTTGTCTCCATACAGCTTCTTGTTTTATTTGGAGGCCTGAACATCAGACTTTCTTTAGCTCCATCCTGTGCTCAGTCACATTGCTGGGTCCATGGCATAGCACTGAGATGATGCTCCAGCCTTCCCCCTGCAAAGCAGCAGAGTCACTGAGCACCCACACTGTGTTCAGAGTCCATGGCCCAGCCCTGGGCTCTGAGAGTGCTCTCTGCACTGTTCCTGAACACCACTCACCCCTGCTTTAGCATCTCGCTGTTATCATGACATGTGGAATACTCTGGTGTCATTTCCTCCCTTGTACACACCCAGAGTCTGCACCTCTGGCTCCGATAACAAAATGCAAGTGAAGGATGAAGCTGGTTTCTGATCATGACACAAAACACAGCTTCTGGGTGTATGAATAATTATGCTGGTGTCAAAGCCTGCTGCAGTGGCTAAACCAACCCCGAGATGAAGCCAACAGCCCAGCCTGGCCTAAACCATGGCATATTTTGGGCTCAGATATGACATTGTGTCAGTGGTCTTGGGTCCTGGTGCGTCACTAAAACAACGGTGGAGCAGCCATTACTGTTCATAGTTACTGAGAGGGAAACCCAGGATTGTGTTGTAACCAACATCTTGATGTGCTGAGGCAGGCTGCTGGGCTACGTTCAACAGCTCTTTATCTTGTCTCATTTCTGCTCAAAGTCTTATCTTTCTGGCTGCTGAGCATGTGCCCAAGCTCGTTCTGTCCTGTCTCTCAGAAACACTGCCATGGAGAAGAAACACTGCCAAACACTGAGCAGCTCCCAGAGAAAATACAGCAAAGGGGGTGAGAAGGGGAAACGTGGACAGGCACAGAGGAGGTCACAGGATGAGCTGAGGGCTGTGTGCATGCTTAGTGCTCATATGGCAGCCAGCAAAGGCTCGGGATACAGGCAGAAGAGAGAGGAGAGCACTCACAGGGAGAGCAGATCAGGGCCTGACTCCAGGCAGGGTCAGTTCCAGTTTCCTACTGGGCAAACAGCAGTGGCCTCCTCACCCCCCCGTGCTGGGCTCTGGTGAGGCCACAGCTTGTGCCCTGTGCTCAGCTCTGGGCTCCTCGCTCCAAGAGAGACCTTGAGGGGCTGGAGCGGGGCCAGAGCAGGGCAATGGAGCTGGGGCAGGACCTGGAGCCCAAGTATGATGGGGAAGGGCTGAGGGACCTGGGGGGTTCAGTGGGGAGAAGAGAAGGCTCAGGGGGGACCTGATGGCTGCCTCCAACTGCCTGACAGGAGGATGGAGCCAGGAGGGGCTGGGCTCTGCTCCCAAGGAACAAGGGATGGGACAAGAGGAACCGGCCTCAAGCTGCACCAGGGCAGGGTTAGATGGAGCTGAGGAACAATTCCTGCCCCAGAGGGTGCTCAGGCATTGGAACAGGCTGCCCAGGGCAGGGCTGCAGGCACCGGCCCTGGGGGTGCTTAGAGGATGTGTGGATGTGGCTCTTGGAGATAAGGGTTAGTAGTAGCCTTGTCAGTGCTGGGCAATGGTTGGACTCTGATGAGCTTAAAGGTCTTTTCCAATCTGGCTGATTCCATGATTGAGGGCTCCTACTGCTGCAACCCTTAGTGACTCGTCCCTTTTCAGTGTCCCACTCTCTGGGCCTTACAGGCTGACTCTTCCTCACTAAACACTTGGTGCTCAGGAAGGACATCCCACCACACCCTGCCTCCCAGCTCACAGGGACAATGCTGTGACAACACAGGAGTGCATCTGACAGCAGGTCTTCACAGAAGAGGCTTTTGTGTGGGTGCTGTGGTGTTATTCTTGCTGTGTAGAGAGGTTACAAAACCAAACTCCAAACCTCTTGCTTCGTAACTCCCAGCATCCACACTACAACCACCCATTAGCAGGGAGACTCATTTCACCTACATTGGTCTGAAAAGCTCTCAGCCTGTTCCACCCTCGTGCAGCCGGAAAGGGCTCTGTATCTTGCAGAGGAGAGGAGCAGGGCAGGTACTCTCAATAAAGCTCTTCTGTGTTAATTCCTTCAGCCACAATTCAGTGTGAAAAGCAGGACAAGCTCTGCCTCCCAGAAACAGTGGATTTACTGTGCCATCACTTGCAAGGAAGCAGAGGGGGGGAAAGGATGTGGAGAAGGGGAAAAGGATGCACAATTTGCTATTGGTACTGGCTAAAGCTCCCATCAGCTGAGGTCTTAAGTACCACCCACTAGCCCCTTCTCCTCCATTTCTAGCCAATGAAACAAGCAACAGTTTGTGTTCGTCTCAGCAGTTACATCCCACAAGCATCCCAAGCCATTGTTCTGTGATGGGAGGCAGCACCTTTTCATTCTCCCCCCCTCTCAGCTCCAACAGACCTGTTCGCTTCATCACACCGGTTTTCCATACCCTTTGTAATGGCCCACGGACACAGCTGCCCTGCCTGGAGATGTGATTCATGGGAACAACTTTCCCCTGCTTTCTGCATCCCTTCCAGAAAGTTCTGTTCCCAGGAAAGCCAGCTGGACACACAGGTGAGGGCAGGAGCATCCTGGATAGCTCAGCCATTGTAAATAAGACATTCCCAGCACATCTCTCCCACCATTTGGTTCAATGGCCATTTTGGTGCCCACACAGAATCATAGAATCATAGAATAGTTCGGGTTGGAAAGGACCTTAAGATCATCCAGTTCCAACCCCCCTGCCATGGGCAGGGACACCTCACTCTAAACCATATTACCCAAGGCCTCGTCCAACCTGGCCTTGAACACTGCCAGGGATGGAGCATTCACAACCTCCCTGGGCACCCATTCCAGTGCCTCACCACCCTCACAGGAAAGAACTTCTTCCTTAGATCCAATCTAAACTTCCCCTGTTTCAGTTTGAACCCATTACCCCTTGTCCTGTCACTACAGTCCCTAATGAAGAGTCCCTCCCCAGCATCCCTATAGGCCCCCTTCAGATACTGGAAGGCTGCTCTGAGGTCTCCACGCAGCCTTCTCCATCATCCCAGAACAGAATCATCAAATCCCAGACTGGTTTGGGTTGGAAGGGGCCTTACAGCTCCTCCATTTCCAACCCCCTGCCATGGGCAGGGCCCCCTTCCACTGGAGCAGCTTGCTCCAAGCCCCTGTGTCCAACCTGGCCTTGAGCACTGCCAGGGATGGGGCAGCCACAGCTTCTCTGGGCACCCTGTGCCAGCGCCTCAGCACCCTCACAGGGAAGAGCTTCTGCCTTATCTCCAACCTGAACTGCCCCTGTTTCAGTTTGAACCCATCTCCCCTTGTCCTGTCAGTACAATCCCTGATGAAGAGTCCCTCTCTAGCATGGATAGGAGGGATAAGGAGCCAGCTCAGTGCATTTTAATACCTGTTGTCATAGAAATGCCAGAAAACTGCCTGAAATGAAAAGGGAAATAAAACTTCTTTTAAAAGGGTCTCTGTGAAATGCCGAATTCAGAAAGCACTTGGGATTTGCACAGCAGAGGCTGTCATCAAGAGCACCGCTCTGCCTGTGGAGAATGCTTAATAAATCACTTGGTGCTTGACCTTTGTCTCTCTGTACAAAATGAGCTGTAGCCAATTCCCAGGCCTGTAAAATACTGTCTCTGGGCTATGGCAATGGATAGAACACAGCAGCTACCCCAGGGCAGACCATGGATCCAACCAGATGCCTGGGGAACAGTGATACTTCCCTGGCACATTTCTGCAGCTTCCTAAAGCAGAGGCATTATCTTGCCTTTAACCACCCTCAAATGGCAATTCCTTCTTGTCCTGACTTTCTACCTCCCATGTTTCTGGGACGTGTGCATCCCACAGCACAGTGACACGAGGTGTAAACCAGCAGCTCCTCCTCTGCTTGGGCTCAACCTGCCTTTGGAAAATTCCACTTGATGTGGAGCTCTCACACTGGAAGAAACTCTGAGTAACTGCTTTGTGCTCACCTTCTCCATCACTTCCACATCCCCCTCATCTTTCAGTCTTTGCCAGGCTCCAATCCCAGCCCACTCGGATCTCTTCCCACAGTAGCCATCCCATGCTGTCCTTATTCTTGCTGCTCTTCCCTACCTGTTTCAGCACTTGTCTCGTTAGACATGAGGACACTAGAGATGCACAGAAATACGGGTGCATTCAGTCTCCAGTGAGACTTTCTAATTATTTCCTTCTAATTCCTAACATAAAACTTACTCTTTTGAGCAAATCTTGCTCTGTTGCTATTTTACCACATCCTTATGATGTTGTTTCTGAACAGCAACAGTCAACTCAGAGCCTGTTGTTACACAAGGTTAGGATTGTTTTTTTCCTGTGTGCATCACCTGATTTCATCTGTATTAAACTGTATCACTTATTAGATTATGCAGTCAGTGAGTGCAAACCAGCGAGTCCTCATTTTATTACCCCAAATAACTCGGTACCATTGGTAAACCTTGGCTGGTCTCTCCACATCTCTTGTAGGTCACCCATGAACACCCCTTGGGATGCCACAGGCCCAAGCACTGGCAGACTGCTGGTTCTCTCTCTCAAAAGGCCTTTTCCTCCTTCTCCAATGCAAAGATGCCCCTTTTACTCTGTTCTTTAAGACCCTTTGCTTATGATGGGAATCACAGGGGCCACTTTCCAGTTTTACTGACAAGATTTAGAGCTCACAGCCACTGCTTCCCCTCTTCTGCTCTTGATACCTGCTGCTGCTCATCCATTTCCCCATTCTTTTCACAAACTTTGTGCTTTCACTAAAAATCTCTTTCTAAAGGCCATCAGTTTCTCCTCTGCACATGGAATGTGGTCACCCCCAAACTGTGGTTCACTCTTAAAAACTGGGGTTGGTCTTGTGCGTAGAGGCTCCTCACAGGAAGATGCTGTTGGAGGAGCAGTTCCTCTGTCTAAAGGCAGCTCTGACACTGTTTGTGCCAATAGGTTTCTCCTGGAAGTCTCCAATTAATCTTCCTTAACCAACTGCTCAAATCCAGGACATTTTTCTCTGGCCTGCCCATAGCCACCAGAAGGATCACCCCCTATGGCCTCAGCACGCACTTACACCATCAAGATATAACCCATAGCAAAGCTGAAGTCATTCTGTAAACAGGTTATTCCTGCAACTTCAACACCCTAGAAAACAGTGTCTCGTGTCTCTCCCGTATGTTGGCCTTTCCCTCAGTGCATTCTGCCTTGACTGCAGCACCCAGCTCTACCAGCTCTAAATGTTACACTCTCTCAAGTGAAAAACCCAAACCTTCCAAGAACATTTCTCAAACATTATTCCCACAAACCCAACTGCAGGCAAAGTCTGAGGCTCTTGAACCATTGGAGTTTTCATTTCAGTGCATTTCCAAGAAGGAAAACAGTTTCTCAGAAGGAATGATGACTTCTAAGAGTTGTATGAGCTGGGGGCTGTCCTGGAACTCTCTGTGCCTTGAGCACCCATCTCATTATGGTCCTTTGAGAACCACGAGGCTCAGGGAGCTCGGAATAGACACTTGCAGAGCAGTATTGAGCAAACACTCATCCTACTTACGCAAAGAGGCTGCTTGAGCCTCTCATTGCAAAACCTTCCCCTTTTGCATTCATCACCTGTGTTACCATGCACAGCCATTATCCGTACTCCCTTGTTTCCTTTTCATGCTCCAGCTTTCCTCTGGTTTTCTCCTTGCCTTTTTGCCATACATGGAAAAGTTAAAAACAACCAAAAACAGATGCAGAAAAAAAGTCCTAACAAGGACAACTTTGCTGCAGGAAGCCTGAATTACAGCTGAAAGCAAGAACAAAGCCATACTCATGTTCCTCCCTCAGTCTGCCCCCTGCAAGCAGACAATTGGAATTATTCAGACAGAAAAAGATAAAGAAACACTGGTTTTTCTGAAAGTGCATTTTCTTCCCTTTAAAGGGAAAAATTCCCCACCACACACTGTGCTGGAATCTCACTAACTACAGGTTTGTAGCTGCCTTGACTGGGTCTGGGCATCTTCACACAAGAGGGAAGCTCCGATGACTCAATGGAGAAGCATCACAAGTCTCCTGCAGAGCTTCCCAGTGTCCCAGGCCCACATCAAAGCTAGGCAGATGCAGGGCAGGGAGAGAATACAGCTGCTGTGTGCAAGAGAACTGAGCCTTTGGGCAGGCTTTTGGAAGGGGAGCTGTTGTGCACATTCTCCTCCCAAAGCTCATACACCACAGTCTGGAAGTGCCTTTCCTTTTGGTGCACAGAGGACCCCTGGGGGGTTCACAGGCAAGAGTAAAGACTGATGATCTGTATTTACATAGTTGTGATGGCAGAAGACAGGGACCTCTCCACCTTCGTGTACTAGGAAGGCAGATAAACTGCCTCAGCTTGTGCCAAAGGCAGCCTTGTCTTTCCCACATGAGCAAGCAGCAGAAGTGAAGCCATGCACTCACCTTGGGGATCTTGGCAAATCGCCCTACTCGAGTATCTCGGATACTGGTTAGATCCAAAATCTCCATCTCCTACAAGAGAACAGGGACAAGGAAGATGAGGAAAGAAAAAGCAGGGAAGAGACCCACTGCAGAGCTCCCAGAAGCTGCAAAGCAAGTCCCAGCACTGTTCACTGGGGAAGAGCTCTCCCACCAGAACAGTGCAGGCAGGGACACATCAGCCACTGATATCCAAGCTGGCCTGCAGCACTGTCCTCTTCAGGGTGAGGCCAGAGGCTTGGTGTGGGTCACCATGAGAAGGAGTGCATGCCATGTACGTGGGTTTATACAGGGAAACATTACCCCAGCTCATACAACCCACTCCTGTTCTCAGCTGTCTTTTGTCTCCGACACTCAACCTGGAGCAGCTGAGCTGGAAGGCAGACAGGACCACTCTGCCCAGTTCACTCCCAGCAGACCTTTACCTCATCTGTTCCAAAGCAACTCCCATGGAGGACATTCCCCAGCCTTCTCCAGGCAGCCCACTCCATGTCCTCACTGCTGGCTATTTGTCATGTTTGTGTTGCTTGTTCTTTTAATATCCAACCTGAATTTCCTTCCTCTGTTACTAATTTGCCTCACCATGGGTCTGGAGAACAAATTATACTTGTTGCAGCAGGCAATATTTTCCAAGATCACAATAAGGAACAATGTGGATACCATGTCTTCTGGCTGTAGCAACACTTTATTGTCAAGCAGGGTGGAAGTTTTACTCCCAATCCCACTCCTTTCTGAATCCCTAGTGCAAAAGAGGTGCAGTTTGTGTCTTGCTGTTCATGCCAAGCAGATCTTAGGATGAGTCAGCCAAAGATTAATAAAGCCACACAAACTCAACAGACAAACTGTTGCATATACCACATCATGGTCTGTATCAGCCCATCTCTTATCCCTCACAAGGCTCATGAAAGCCTGCACAAGACCTCCACAAGCCTGCCCTAGCCCCCCACTCCTGCTAGCTCACCCTGCCTGCAGATCCCCTCAGAGGATAGAAAAGATGCCAGACATGTGCTTCTCCAAGGATGTAGAGCAGGCTGCTGCTCCAGTGCACCTCTCTAATGTGTTAACAGTTTAGTTTAGATGATGATCAATGGCATTGCCAGGAAGATGAGGCCACTCAAGTCTGGATTTCCTCATGTGAGCTTTGCTTCCTTACCCCAGGCCCTTTCCCAGGTGAAATTTCTTCTACCACCAACCCAGGGAAGTATCCCACTTTTGATGGTGATAACAGCTCCTCTTGTCCCATTTTGTGCACCTCCCCCAGTGCTACCACTTCCCACTGTCTGGGGAACCTGTACTGCAAAAATCCTACTGCCAGGAGTGATCTTGAGAGGGGAATGAGAGTGATGGAGATGCCTGAGAAGAGGATGTGGCAGTCCCCAGCCTCGTGACAATGTTCTTGCACTGGGGCACATCTCCAGCAAAGGCAGAGCTCACCAAATCCCATCAGGTCTCCTGGCCAGGGTGCTGGACAGGACTAATGGCTCTGTCTCTTTATCTCCCATGCCCCTTGAGCATGTAGGTCACGAGGAGGAAGTAGAGCTGAACCACAGCCCTGCTCTGGAAAGCAGAAGTGAGCCCAGCCTTCCATCTCCAGGCAGCCAGATCTCTCCGCCACCCATTGCTACTCATCAGTGAGGAACTGAATTCTCTTTCCTCTGTTTGTGGCCTCCCTCTCTCCTCCAGCATCCTGTGGTGCACACATCACCCTGCCCCTAGAGGGGCACAACTTGCTTCTACACTTGATGTAGTCTCTGGAGCCCTATGCTCACTACCCTTTGCTAGATTAAAATGTCTAAAACCCCCAAGATATCAGTTTATAACATAGGCAGCATGAGGTACACATTAGCTGAAGCTGTATACATGTAATTGCATGTCCTGCCATGATCTTTCCAACTGTACCATTGAACTGGACGGGAGAACCCTTCAGGGTACTGGGTAACAGGGATACCAACTCTTCTGCTCTCCAAAGTCCTTGGAAGCACATCTAGTGAACTTTGCAGGTACAAGCTGCCAGCATGACAAGCACAGGAAGGCCACACATCTCTCTGGCCTGACAGCTTCATCTCCTGGTCTTTTCTGGGTATCTGAAGACAGACAAATCTGCCATGGAAGAAGCACAGGACTCCTAACTCCTCTGTAGGTGGAATGAGTGTGGCAGTCTGCTCCAGAGTGCAGAACTCAAGCACTTAGAGTGTTCTAATCTCACACAAACCTGACCTGGCTATTTGGAGACCAAGTGTGAATAGCCTTAGCACTTACCTTATTCTGATGGGTCCAGTATAAGTAAAAGCCCTTTGGATCCACTCGAAGAATCACAGGGGAAGCACTTCCTGTTTCCTGACAAGAAAAGGCAAACAGAAGGAAGCAGGTTAACACCTTATGTGACCTGGAGAGCCCATCATGGGATGCAAGTTTCCAGTTCAGATACAGACCCCGCTGGGTGAATCATCCTCTGGCTTATGGAAATGAACCAGATGATTTTAGCACATCTCCAGTGAGGCTATGGAACCTGATCTCTGCTGAAGCCTGAGTCTCACCTAACACCACCCATTTAGCTAAAAACTCTCTTGGAGCCTTCTATACAAGGAGTTAAGAAGAAAGTGGCTGTGGATGCAATTAACTGTTCATTTGAACTGCTTATCCCCCAAGGCACTGACGGGGTTCTACAAGCTCCCGAGTAGCCCAGGCAAAGCAGAGATACCATTCATCAGGGGCATCTTCACACGAGTTACCTGGGCTGTCTTTACAGGGAATGACCTGAGCCAGGAAGGGCTCAAGGATGAGTCCATCTCATACAGCAGATGAGGCTGCTTTAGGCAATGATTCAAACTCCAAGGACGAGCTCTCCACAGACTGGGAACAGCAGCAGTTATTTAAACACCCACACTCCAGGAGCAAAATTAGATGGATTTATTCAGCGCCAATCCTGACCCCAGTACAAGAGGGAGGCCCTCCAGATCAGAGCTGAGGCATGTACTGCACAGGAGGCTGTGCACTTCACCTCTGGATGATTGCTCTGCCCCTGCATTTTCAGTTAAAGCAGCTTCACAGCTATTCTCAAGGCAACACCCGTTCCCACCTCACATGCAAGCCTGTGTGAAGAGATGAATTAACACGAGCTCTTTGGAGAGTGAGATGAAGGATGCTTGGTGCTCTGCCTGGGTCCCAGCCCATTTGCTCATTCAGTCCTCACTGCACTTGACCCCTGGTGCAACACAAGACAGGATCACACGGTCTACCATCCATTTCTGGGAAAGCTTCAGATTCAATCCATGAAGGTGAAACACCCAGCTACTGAGATGAAACCAGCAGTGGGATTTGGAAGTTGTATCTGTTCCTTGTCCTTGGGCTCTCCAGGTTGTTACTGAACCCATACTTTGCTCCAGAGTGCATCTGTATTTCTCAGTTTTCAGACTGAGGATGCTCCACTACAGCAAACTGCCCATGGAACAGAGCTCTCTATGTTCTACTTTTACCCCCTGCTGCCTTCCTCATGCTGTACCAGGGACACTGTTGACCTGTTTGATCCTGCCCCTCTGCTCTGCTCGCGTGAGACCTCCCCTGGAGCATTGTGTGCAGTTCTGGTGTCCTCAACATAAAAAGGACATGGAACTGTTGGAACAAGTCCAGAGGAGGCCACGAGGATGCTCAGGGGCTGGAGCAGCTCCTGTATGGAGATAGGGTGAGAAAGTTGGGGCTGCTCAGCCTGGAGAAGAGAAGCTGCGTGGAGACCTCAGAGCAGCTTCCAGTGTCTGAAGGGGGGCTATAGGGATGCTGGGGAGGGACTCTTCATTAGGGACTGCAGTGACAGGACAAGGGGTAATGGGTTAAAACTGAAACAGGGGAAGTTTAGATTGGATCTAAGGAGGAAATTCTTTCCTGTGAGGGTGCTGAGGCACTGGAATGGGTTGCCCAGGGAGGTTGTGAATGCTCCATCCCTGGCAGTGTTCAAGGCCAGGTTGGACAGAGCCTTGGGTGCCATGGTTTAGTGTGAGGTGTCCCTGCCCATGGCAGGGGGCTGGAACTGGATGATCTGAAGGTCCTTTCCTACCCAAACCATTCTATGATTCCATCATGCCCATGTTCCCAGAGCTCCTGGTTAGCTCCCTGAGCACATGGCCACAAAAGCAGACCAGGCACTGCAGTACTGCTACCAAGTACTGGGCCGTGTTCTAGATTAACCTTATCTCCTGTGAAGCAGCTTTCCTGAAAGCAAGTGAGGGTACAGTGAGGACCGGTGAGAGCTGATCAGGGTGCCCCCTCCTGAGCAGGCACATGGATGGCTGTGGGGTACAGGTGGGCTCTCCTATGGGGAGGCTCCTGTAACAAAGGAAATAGGGAATTCTATGGAAGATGGTCTGGCAGCCAAACTGGCTGCTGCTCACACTGTAGAGTTCAAGTCCAGGGCAGAAAGCAAGCACTGTGTGGTAAAGTCATGTAACCCATAACCTCTGAGAGACAGAGGTTTCCTTCTACTATGAGGGCTGAGAGGCAGCATAGAGCCAAATCCACACATAACTGCTCTGATTAAGAGCTCAGCTACTATCCTGTGCCCTATCTCAGGTGGGAAAGTGTTCCCAAGCTGGTCCTTCAGATACATCACCATGCATGTGGTAGGACTTCACCCCTTTAGCCTGCTCAGCAACCCCAGCTTGGTGGCTGCTCAACCAAGCACAGCAGAGCTGCTCCTCACCCCGAGATGTTGGGACAGGTCAGAACAGCCCCACTGCACCCTGCTCTAAGCAGCACATTGCAGATGCTGCACGAGGTGAAGGCACTACACAAGGTGGCTTTGGTTTTCCTCAAGAAACTATCGGGTACAGTGAAGGCTCCAGTCCAGTCCCAAACTGGACAGAGTGATGTAAGGAGCCAGTCCCATCTACCTGCACTACTTGCCTCTCATACTGTGGAAGGAGTTCAAAACTGTTACCTACAGTAACATGGCCAGGTCAATTCAAGAAGTGGGACAAACCCCACAGGCCTGTGAGCCCTGAAGAGCAGCAATCCTGCAGCCTGGACCTCTTACACCATCCTTTGTAGCTTGCCCTAACTGTGGAGTGGGAAAGCACGAGGAGACAGAGCAATGCGACCAGAACAGAACACTTGTGGAAAAGGCTTTCCTCATCGTTGGAGGTCAGGTCTGTAAAGGACTAAGTCACCAGAGAGCACCTTCTAGGAACACTTAAAAATCCTTAAGCCATAGCAAAAAACCCACACAGGACTTGAGCTCCCTCAATCCTATCATTGCAGCAGCAAATAAAACACGTGGGGCTTGGAAGCCCAAGTTAACTCCGCTTGGGTTTCAAGGGAGCCTCACTGCCACTGAATTCCCAGCTTCAAGCTTTTGGGAAGGTGGTCCCCAAGGACTGGGCACAGAGCAACTGCAGACAAGTTTGGCTGCTGCTGTTCTCAGAAACCCAATCCCTGTTCAAATCCAAAGCAGCCACACATGCACTCTGCAGGCAGTGGGAGACTGGAAAGAATGGGAAGGCTGCACTTTCCACCATGCCCTGGTGTCCTCCTGTTCCTGTACAGCCAGTGCAGTAACTGCCTGGTGATATCCCATCCTGTATCCCTCAGCATCCACCCTTTCTGCTAGCTGTATGTGACATTGCTTTATGTCTCTGGACCACCTCTGCTTCCCATGCATATGAGTAACTGCCATCCCCCACATGCACTGCCTTGGGACTTAAAACTCTGTTCAAGCTTCACACCCACAAAAGCAGGCACTAATCCCTCCTATTTCCACTGAAAGCTCCTTCTAACACATCTCAGCTGCAATATCACATCACATGTTTCCCCCAGAGCTTGGTGAATAATCGTAACCTGGCATGCCCCCGTTTTATCAGCTCATGCTCCATAGCAGACAATTCACACTGCAGACAGAATGGATGGGCAGCTGCTGTCCCCTTGCTCAGGTACGTGGGGATTGGGGTAAATACTCTTTTGCCTTCTTAGAAAGTGAGGAGAGGGCTATCACATTCTGCTGTTCCCACTTTCTGCTCCTCACAATGAAAGGCACACAGACTGCAGAGATAAATGAGGACACTGAGTTGGAAAGCAGCAGCTTCTTGCAGCACCCTCCAGGGCTCTGGCCCTTTGCTACTCGGCCACTGCACACTCGACAGCTCACAGACCCACAGCCAGCAGGCACAGGAGGCCATGGCTCACCCTCTGTCCACTCCAACAGGGCCATAAGAGGAACCAACTTGGAGGCTGATTTCCTCTCTATCTGCAAGCACGGAGAGTCCTCTCAGTAAATCCTGCCCCTCAGGCTCCTCTGGACAGGTCCGAATGTGCCATTTGCCTCTCACCCCAAAGAGCTGCCACCAGTGACACCTTCCTGAGGGCTGGGACACAGACAGGACCCTGAGGTCCTACACCAGACCCAGTGGCACACTCTGTCTACTTCCACCCTCCACAGTAACAAGAGGTGCACAAGCCACTTCACCAACCCCCAACACATACACCCATTGGTTTTCCCCTCAGCTCTCCTCTTATCCAGACATCACTGTTCTCAGGTACAACACACCATGTCCCAACCCCAGCACTGAATACACGCTCCCAGCCTCCCCATAACCCCTGACCAAAACACAATGTCTGCCCCACCACCGTACATAAAACACAGTGCAGGAAAACCCATAGTACTCACATCATCCCATTTGATGAAGCGCTCACCCTTGGACAGATACTCCTTCACCTCCGGCGGCTGCAGGACAGGGGTAAGCATGGACATCCTGCCCTGCAGATGTGCTCCTCAGCCACCAGAAGCAATAGCTGCCGCACAGCTCGCTCCTCCTTGGCCCCCTCTCCTCTATCTCTGCCTCTCACGTGGCAGGGCTCTCTGCCATGGCCACTGTTGGCATCAGAAAGCAAACAGCCTCTTATATCCCAGCCAAATTCAGGAGGGGCAGGGACAGGCAGGCGAGGACCGATGAATCTGCATTGTAAATCAACAGCTCTCCAAGCAAGCGGGAGAAGCTGAGCCCAAGGTCACCCAGAGGGAAGGCTGGGCTGGGCTGGGATGCCCGTGTGGGCAGCCCCGCAGGCACGCTGCTGCTCCAGGAGGGACCTGCTCCTCGGGGTTGTGCTGGTGAAGCTCACGCTCCACAGCACTTCCGCAAGTGAACTTCCTTAACTGTTGTCTTGACGAAGCGCAGACATCCCCAGCCAACACACAAACTAGTTCAGCAGATGTGCTTACAGAACAAGTCAGGCTTTGGCTACAAGCAGACTGCCCCCTTCATGCAACAGCCCAAAGATCATGTAAAACAAACTCATTCGTTGCTCCCTACAGCCGCCGTTTCTGGGGCCACTTGGTGCACTTCCACTCTTTAACCTCCTTCCTTTCTCTCATGGGTTCTGCTGAATGTCAACCTGAAAAGTGAGGCAGAGGGAAACCCCACAGAGAGATGCAATAAAGCACTGACAGGAGTCCCGAGGACTGCATTATCCCCCAGACTCACTTGGGTCCACTGCAGATACTGTGGGAGCATGGAATGGGAGAGATGAGTTAAGGTGAGGGAAGTGACAGAAGCAGACAGAAGGTTAATGGCAAACAGGGCAAAACCGAATCCCTGCTCTTGACCTTGGCTCAAGGGAATTACATGTGAGCAGCAGAGGAGAAAAGGAGCTCTGGTGGCAGATGTGGCTAACAAGGGGGAGAATGGCTTGTGAAGAGGACTGACATGGGCAAGGTTAATTTTAGTCAAGAAGGCAGAGGCCCACGTTTAATTAGCAGTGGCAGTAACTGTGTTACCCGTGCTGTAATGGGATTCCCAGCCACATGGTGGGATTTCAGCCTTGTCTCCTTATAAAGGAGACAACAAGGTGTCAAGGGGTGGCACCTGCCACTGCTCAAGAGGGACAAGACATTGTCAGCAGCAGTGCAGATTCTCCCAAGGGTGGACAAAGCCTCCTGCTGTACAAAGGGAGGCAGCTGCAGGGAATACTCTCCAAGAACTGGCTATCCAGGCTGTCAGCTCTGTTTTACTGGGGCAGTGAACTGAGGTGGCCTACCCAAGGCTGTGCTTGCTCAGGGCCAAGACTAAGGACATGGAAACCCATCACCTCTGTTCCGATAACCAAGCCACATTTATGGTACTAAGCTCCCTCTGCATGTGTGACACGTGCTGCCAGAGCAGCCAACTGACAGAGCACTGGAGGATCCCAGGCCCAGCAAAGACAGCATCACCAGGAACACCATCCCACTATCCCCCCTGCAGGGGTTGCTGTTATTCCCAAGCAGCATCTGCCCAGATCTCAAGAGCTGAGCTGGAAGTGCTCAGGGATGCCAGCAGCATTTGGCATAAATGGCAGTGAAATGCCAGGCTCTGCAGGGCAGGTTTTGTTCTCCGTGCTCTTCTAAGGAACAAACCCTGAGGGGCAGGTATGCACACAGAAGCCACAGGAGCCTGCAGTTGGGGTGGAAGTTTTCTCTGCCCTCATCTGATCCCTCCTCTACACCAGAGCAGTTTCAGTGCTGCTCAGCTGTAACTCAGGGAATAGCTGTGTAAAGGCTAACGAGCATCAGCCTCGCTCGGAAGTGCTGCACTCCTCCCATCCTCCATTGCACAGAAAGCACCAAAGGAAGGCCATGGAGGTCACAGGGAGAAGCGAGAGGTGGGATGAGCTTTGCCACCTGGAACTGCAGGTGAGATCAGTCACAGCTACTGGTTCCAGGGGCCCAAATGGGATTTACCACAGTTAATACTGCTCTGTGAACTGTGCCTGTTTCCTGTCACAACCAGGGCCTCACAGACAGGCTGCTCCTGTCCTGCATTCTCTCAGACCTGGCTATTCAACAGCTTTCTGTGTGTCTCATCAACAGACCTAGAGCAAGCATGAATCCTGCCAGAGCTCCACTCCCTTGTCACTCAAAGTCAGCTTTCCCTAAGGAATAAATCAGTGAACTGAAACTAAAGGCACCATGAAGAGCAGCACCCAAGCCAGAGCTGTCCTGTGAGGCTGCACAGCACCAACGGCCAAGATCCCTGCTTGCATAAAGCTGGTCACAAAAGCTGAAGCTCGCTTCCTTCTGCATAACCCAACCTCCTTATCTTTCATTTCACACTCCTTGTGCTGTGTGGGAGCTGCTGCCCCTTGCATGAAGAGATGGCTGATGGAACAGTGATAGAAGAGAGCAGCAGTCCTGCCCTCTGCTGAGAGCTCTCATATCACAGCAGGCAGGACCAGCACGTTGAGCAGTATTATTCTACCACCCTGTATTTTCTCTCTCCTGCAAGGCCCATCACCCCATCTACACTCATGCACAGCCCCTCTGAGCAGGGCCCTGCACCTCCTTTGCTTTCAGCCCTTCACCGTGCACCCACCACCCTCCGTGAGGGTTTTGATAAGCAAAAACTTCCATTTTTTACCTTTTTTTCCCTGAAGACTTCCTTCTCCCCCTGCCCTGCCTCTTCAGCAGCCCCGACCTGCCACAGAGCCCATGCAGCAGCACAGTCAGCATCACCCTTCAGAGATTTGACACGGCAGGGTCTGTGGACAGTGATTTAAGCCCTGCTTTACTGAGCAGCCTTCACTGCATGGCTCCTGAGTTCTAGCACGTTATTGTGTAGCCTCAACCCCAACCTGCTCCCAGCACACACAGATCTGTAAGAAGCCCCTTCCAGCACTGTTCTGTTCCACGATAACTGGATCTTGCAGTGTGAAATGCTGTCCTCTAGTGAACAGCGATGACACTGCACACACAGCGTGAGCACTGCCCTCCAACGGTAGGGGTGAATCCAGAGCTATGCAAAGCTGAGGCCACCCCGCAGTTCCTTTTCCTGTTCTGCCCTCTGAGCCCCGGCTATCCTGAAAGGATTAATGGCACCATTAGGACCACAAGGCCAATTTTCTCACCACACTGGGGAGAAGAAGAGCTGAGGGTGTGTGTCAGAGCATACTGTGCCCTACTTTGAGCCCAAACCACAAAGCCACAGATTTATGACAGCTCTCAGCTGACAGCATGACTCCAACTCGACCTGCAGGAGTCAGAGGGCAGTGGACTACAGCACAGAAAGGCAAGTGGCCACAGATGCCACAATACCATATGAATGCCCCAGAGAGGGGCTCTTCATCAGGGATTGTACCGATAGGCCAAGGGGAATGGCTTGAACCTGCCCGAGGGGAGACTGAGCTGAGCTCTTAGGCAGAAGCTCTTCCCTGTGAGGGTGCTGAGGCGCTGGCACAGGGTGCCCAGAGAAGCTGTGGCTGCCCCATCCCTGGCAGTGCTCAAGGCCAGGTTGGACACAGGGGCTTGGAGCAAGCTGCTCCAGTGGAAGGGGTCCCTGCCCGTGGCAGGGGTTGGAGCTGGAGGAGCTTTAAGGTCCTTTCCAATGCAAACCAGGCTGGGATTCTGATGCTATGAAAAGCAGTGAGGTTTTGTGTTCATGCAAGTCCCCAAAACTCTGATCAAGCTCTGAGATATGGCTAGGTCACCATTAACTGCTCACTGCACGGGAATACACAGCAGGAGTATCTTTCACTCCTGGCTCTGATGGCTTTCTGTTTATGTCCAGACTGCACAGGTGAGTGATGGAAACAGGCTCATACACTGTTTAAACACCCTACACATCACTGCAGTACAAAGTAACTGCTGCCCAGGGATGACTGAACCATGCAGTTCCTAATGGCTAGCAAAGGAACAAAACTTTCCAAGATGGGTCATTAACAGAAGAGGAAGCAGGATGAAGGGCAGCAGCACACCAGACCATGTGCCCATCTCATGCTACCTCACAGTAACAGGAGCAAGGGCAGCAAAGAGACTTCTACCAAACCTGGAGATGGATCCATCTCACTGCCCACTGTGTTTACCCACAGTGTAAAATGCTGAACTGGGAAGCAGGATACTGGGAAGGAAGCCCCATTTAGCTCTTTTTCTTCCTGCTCTATCATCCCAACTCGTTCTAACCATAACCTGTCTTCTGTGGATGCATTTGCTGCTGCCACAGCAGATTCTGAGTCCTGATCTTGTCTTTGGGGCAGGATTGAATCCCTGCTTCCCCAAGGTAGGCATGTCCACACGTGCAGGTCGGGGAAGATGAGAGCTCTGCTGGCTGAGAAGCAAAGGGTATCAGCTTGGTTCCAGCACCACATTAAAGTGGGTAATGTGGCCATCCACCCACACTAGCATTTTGTCAGCACAAATGCACCAAGTTTTCTATGTGGATTTATATAACTGTGTGCATATACATGAGCCCCAGTGCACCGACTCTGAAAGGCAACACACCCCAGTGGATCCCATTCCAGAGACAGAGGCTCCCACTGCAGACTACACCCTGCTGCAGCACTATTCAGTTAGGGATGAAAGAGTAATAAAAACTAAAAAAGGCTTCTTTGCATTGTCCCTTCGTGCCAATTCCCACTGCCAGCAGCCTCGGACTGCTGCCCAGGAACCACTCTGCCTACTCACTAATGGAGCTGACCAGCCTTCAGCCATGGTCTCCAGTTCTCCAGGTGCTAGGCCAAGAATCTGCATGTGTAATACCCAGCTTCAACCTTCCAGGCATCCCGCTCCCTACTGCAAAGGCCTCTGCACATCATATTCCAAACTCCACCTCCTGGAGGTGCAATGCAGTTGTAAAGCAGTGATGTGTTCAAGTTTGGGTCTGCAGGAAAGAAGGCATTTTCCAATGGAGGCTGCTAAAGAAATGTCATGTAGGTTTTCAGGTAGGTCGACAGCCTCCACTGTTTTAGTGAATAGCACAAAATCACACATTCACAAGCTTTTCAAGCTAAGGACCACTTTCAACCTCCACAAGTTTCTCATTAACCTCATCATTGAAGCTATTGCTGACAACTCTCAAAAGGCAAAAGGGCTCCATAGCCCACGGAAGGCACCAAATGGAACTGATTTGCACCAGCTGATAGCCCCAGCAACTGGAAATATGAAGCTGAAGGGGCAAGATCTTATCTCAGCATTGTCCTTTGACATGGTCCAGTGTGAGTCATCCGTGCCCATGGGAGGGAGTTGGAACTGGATGTTATTAGGGTCCTTTCCAACCCAAACCATTCTATGATTCATGATAGTCACCTGTGGGTGGGATGAAGGTTTTATT